CCTGTCCCCTCCACCTCCTTCCCCTTCTGCCCCACCAAAAAGAGAAAACAGACTAAACAAAACCTATCTGGACCACAGTTTCTGGTCCTCCTCTGCCATTACTTTCCTCTTTCACCTCTCTTTTATAAGTATCCCAGGCAGAAAGGACCAAAACCTCATGTAGACTGGAACCAGAGTTTTCAAAGCCAAGGAGAAAGCAAAGCAGTGTGCATTTGTGGGCTGTTTCATTTTCACAAGCTCTGCACATGGGGAGCCGGTGCTGACGTCCTAAGGCAGAAGTGAGGATACGACATAAATAAAACAAGCAAAACACAGATTTTTTTTTCTTTCGATTCCAACAGTTGTATAAGCTGATTTTGCTTGATCCGTTTTCTTAAAAAGGTTTGTTGACATTTTTAAATCTTTTAACACAATTGTATTTTTTTAAAAGATATTTTATTTATTTATTTATTTATTTATTTATTTATTTATTTATTTATTTATTTATTTATTTATTTATGAATGAGGCAGAGGCACAGGCAGAGGGAGAAGCAGGCTCCATGCAGGGAACCCAGTGCGGGACTCGATCCCAGGACTCCAGGATCACACCCTGGGCCAAAGGCAGGCGCTAAACTGCTCAGCCACCCAGGGATCCCCAACATAATTGTGTTGCATAGGATACAGACTGGTGGCCCTCGGGTAGGATACAGTCTGAAGACATACTTGGTTTGGCCTTTAGAATATTTAAGAACTACAAACTAGTTCCTTACATTGACGAATTTGAGTTTTTCATATAAATTCCCAGGCTTCTACCTTGGTTTAAAAAATCAGAAATCTGGCAAAAGACCTATGGCTGCACCTCTGGGCTAGGCAGGCGAGCTCCGGTTTGCACCTGCCTGTGGAGTTTGTCACCTGTTTTGCCTTCCAGGTATGTGCACTTGCAGTCTACTGCTGCAGCAAGTGACAGTGATCCTAATTTTGGAAATTAGCTCCTGCAACTCTCTAAGAATGTGTTCTCGAGGAATAAGGCATCGATGGGGGAAAAATAAATTCTGGCAATGTTTCTTTTAGAAGGGAGCAGAGACTAGTTTCATGTGTCCTTTTCCCCTTACAGTACGTTAGAAAGCTCTCCGTGTACTGCTCTGGCCTCAGGTGAGTCCATTTGAAATGTTTGCTTAAGTAGGGAAGTCAGATCTGTTACAAGCATATCATATGGCCTATGTGACTTGCTCAACATTTTTGATATAAATGTTAACAAAAGAAAGTTTTCTTTATCCTGCCTGTATTCAGTTAAGCAGGTCTGGTGACAGTGTCATTGATTCTCCTGTCCCAGCACCCCAGCCTGCCTCTCACTGGCCTGCTCGGTGGTGTCCTTGATGCTGGTGCTGACCTTGTGCTCACGTGTCTGCTCGCTCGCTGCCTGCCCACAGGAGTGGAATATTACACCGTAGCTTTGGGAAGTTTCTCATGTGGACTGGGAGCAGGGTTGGCCCTGTGCTGCAGCTCCCAAGGCCGAGGCCGGAAGGGATTAAGTGATTGGCCTCAGTCTTGCTAATTAGCAGTGGAGCCAGGATGAGAGTCTGCATCCACAGGACCTGCTCCAGGACCTCGGTGGCGGCCCTACCCCTCCTGCCACTTCATGGGACACACATCTCTTTTCCGGAACAACTGTAAACTTGTAGCAAGGGACTGTTTCATTTTAAGATGATGTTTAGCCCATCAGCGAATATGGTTTGTGATTGTTTCAGTCCTGGTTTGGTCGTGTTCGGGACTCCTTTATTCAGTTGTTATTCCTGCCCATGCTGTGGAATTCTATAACTTCAGCAGCTGGCATTTTAGACATTCCGTGAATACATTTTCGTTCTAATACATAAGCTCAGTGGCACCAGAAGTGACTAGAAAGTTATTCAGCAAAAAAAGAGTTGACCATTTTTTTAAATGTGTGCCTAGGCCTTGTGTCTGTTTTGGTTATGATTACGTAAGCTACTCGAGATTTGTCTCCTGAGTTTTTGACAGTACTCGGCAATAGCCAGGAAGAGATCTTGCCATCTCCTTTTGCTAAGGAAAGTGTTTTCTGAACTATCTTTTTGGACTCCAGTTATTTAGATGTTGGATCTTTTTTCCCCGTCAGGTCCCTGTTTGTACATCTTTTCTCACATGTTGTTTTTATCTTTGTTTTTTTTCCTGAAAGATTGCCCAATATTTTTTATCTGTCTTTTAAAATTTTTTAATATTAGCCAATACATTTCACTTGTAAGAGCGATTTTTATTTCTGATTATTGCTTTTTCATTGCATCTTCTTCTAGTTTTTATGGCTATGCCATATTCACTCTGGAATATTGTTTAGAGGCAATTTTTCTGTTTTTAGTTTTCCTCTTTTCTATATTAGCCCCATTTTCTCTGGGAGTAATTTTTATTTCCCTCCTAGGGATCCTCTCTCCTCTGAATCTCTTTTTATTGTTTTAAAAGCAGGCTTTGCTTGTATGTGTGATGATCCTTGGTTGTTTGTTCTAGTATAAAAATGAGTAACTGTTAAGTCTGACAGAGTTTTCAGTGCATTGAGAGGGCTTGTCAGCTGGCAGGCTTCATTCAGCTGGAGTGGATGGGAACATCATTATTCTGAGGAAGCCCTCAGTGTCAGATGTGGAAGTCTCTCTTCTTGGACACCTGTGTCTTTGTTAGCTGCTCTCATTTCCTGGGCAGTTCTTTTACATTCTGTAGGGAATGCCTCTGTTTTGGAAGTAGGAACATGTCAAGGTTAAGGTCCTTAGACCTCTGTTATAAACAGACTGCCTATAAACAGCCTATAAATAGTAAATCACTGCCTCCCTCTTGATGAACCCAGGGAGGATTTAAATGGTACCACCACCCCATCCATTGTTCTGCTTCCACCAAATCCTATAGCTATCTTTGCTTCCTCTCCTTATATCTCACCCAACACACTGTACTACACCACTGACTACATGTGTGGCACTCTGCTAAGTGCTTTACACATATTTACTCTTTTAATCTTTACAACTAATGGAAAATATTGTTACCATCCCCACTTTACAGATGAAGAAATTGAGGCGCAGAGAGGCTAAGACCACACAACGAGTAGCAAAGCTGTGAATCAGCCCTGGTCTATCTTTGTTTCGTTTTATTTTAGATTTTATTTAAATTCAAGTTAGTTAACATATATTGTATTACTAGTTTCTGGGGTAGAATTTAGTGACACATCAGTTGCATATAACATCCACTACTCATTATAACTAGTGCCCCCCCCTTAATGCCCATCACCCATTTATCTCCCCTGCCCACCTCCCCTCCAGCAACCCTCAGTTCTGTATCTTTAAGAGTGTCCTATAGTTTGTTTCCCTTTCTCTTTTTTTTTTTTGCTTTTTACCCCTTCCCATATGTTCATCTGTTTTGTTTCTTAAATTCTACATGTAAGTGAAATCACATGGTATATGTCTTTCTCTGCCTGCCTTATTTTGCTTAGCGTTGTACACTCTAGTTCCGTCCGTGTTTTGATGGGAACACAACCTCGCACAGCCACTCTGGAAAACAGTATGAAGGTTCCTCAAAAAGTTAAAAATAAAACTATCCTACGACCCAACAGTTGTATTACTAGGTATTTATCCAAATGATAAAAAATAATGATTCAAAGGAGCATGTGCACCCCAGTGTTTATAGCAGCAATGTCCACAATAGCCAAGATATGGAAAGAGCCCAGATATCCAGTCCATGCTCCTAAATCACCACATTGTTCTGCCTATAGTGCATTGGGAAGACCCTCCATCTCTGGAACAGATCCTGAATCTGACCATCTCTTCCACCTCTGCTCTTAGAACCCTAGTCCTCACCACTCGTGGTCTCACCTGGACTCTGGTTTCCCTACCTCTACTCTTCCCCTAGAGTCCACCCTCGATGTAACAGCTAGAGAAATCTTCCCAGAGTTGCAGATCAGATCACGGATCCCCCCTGAGTAGTTAAAATCTGAATCCTTTCCGTGGCCCAGAGCTCCTTCGTGGCCTGACCCGCCCATCTCCTCTTGGCCGCAGCTCCTCCTCCTGACATTCGAACCTAGTAAGCTTGTCCTTTCTTAGGGTCTTTGTATTTGCTGCTACTTCTCTTTCCCCAGGGCTTACCATGGCCATCTTCTCATTACGCCTTAGCTCAAGTAACACCTTCACTCACTCACTCACACTCTACGCACATTTACTTTAAAGCACATACTAAGATCTTAAATTTCTTAGTGGTTTATGTATATGTATTTCCCAACTAGATTCCAGGTTCCTTGAGGGCTGGGACTTTGTCTGGTTCAGTGTGTACCTCCAGTGCCTGGATGGGGACCTGGCATGTGGTAGGCTGTCTCTAGTCATTTGCTAAGAAGTGAGCGTCCCTGGAGCTCTTAGGCTGAAAGCACCAGCCTGCATTGCAGCCCCTCCCCCATGGCGCATCAGATTCAGTCATTGCTCACCTACATGTGTTGACACCTTTCATTTACTAGCGGTCCCTTTCCCGTTATAGTTGTTGTGGTGTTTGTTACACTTTAGGCATTCGTGTGTATTGGTCACTATTTTTGCCACATCTGCAAACCTTCTATACTATTATTTATCCTAGTTTTTCCTTTATTTAAATTTATATGAAATAGAAACTATATCACAGCATAAATGAAAAAGAAAAAAATATTACCACAAATGACTATATTAATTAAAATTAAAACTGTCATTCCAGGTAATTTAAAATTGTAAAAACTTCCGTTTCACGCACTGCTTTTTGGTAGTAGTGTGCTACTGTAGTAGTATTGTAATGGAGAGTTGAGAAATATGTGTTTGGTTATAATCTTGAACTTGAAGCCTGTCATTTGAAAATTGACCCTATAATGGATCCCTAAAGCAACAGCTGTGTTCGATTATTCACATCTCCTAAACCCAGGGCAGCTTGAGTCTAATGTCTGCAAAGTTTCTGTGGCTGTGCACAGTGGAAGAGGTGTCTTTGCAGCACTTTGAACACCATTTGAAATTCTTCTCATCTAGGACTGACTACTTTGCACGGATGATGAACATTTCCTTACGTTTGAGAAGACCACCCTGGATGGTGGATAGTAACGGACGGAGGATGACTTCACATTTCCAGTGGCTCTCATTAACATTTATTCTCCTGTATTTAATGAACCAAGTGAATAGTGAGAAAAGGGGTAAGTGCATCTGAGTCTTAGAATGAACTGATGCAATGCTGTTGCTATTTTTCACAATTACTGTTTTGATTATGAGGTGGTCTTGTATCTTTATTGAACCCTTCAGGTTTTCTGTGGTTAAAATCAATTTCTTTGTCATTTTCTTCTTTTATACACTATTCCTCTCTTTTTAAAAGGTCCCTAAAGCTAGGTCTAAATATTCTTTATCCATTAAAAAAAAAGTATAATTTACATACAATACAATTCACCCTTTTAGGATAAAACTCTGTGAGTTTTGACAAATGTGTACAGTCACATGACCACCAGCACAATGAAGACACAGAACACTCCCCATTCCAGAAAATTCCCTATGCTCCTCTATCCTCAGCTTCTCTCCTCCCTCTCTCAAGCCAACACTGGCCTAGTTTCTGTCTATAATTTTGCTTTTCTGAATGTCACGTAAATGAAATCTAAATCTCTTTCTTTAATAACATGTTGTGTTCATGTTCTTTAAATATATTACGAATGTTTATGTAGATGTTATTATCTAGCTTATTTCTTTTTTTTAGCTTATTTCTATAAAAAACATTATCATCCTTCTGCCCCTGATTTAGTTTTATATTATTTCTTTTTTTTATATTATTTCTATAATTAAACAGATCTTTTCCTCTGAGATCACTGTTTAAATAATTCTAGTTATGGTTACTGATGATTTCTAATGTGAGTGCTTCTAACATTTTTGTTTTCTGTCTCATGTAAGTAGCTTTATAATTTATTGCTATTGTAAATGTCATGCCAATGGTGTAAAAATTAAAAAAAAAACCCTTTCAGAGACATTTATAGAGAGAGTCTGAGATGGAATAACCTCTTATACACTCTAATTGCTTTATTTCCTCCCTCCTTCCCTCTCCCTCTTCCGGTTTCCTTTTGTCCTCCCTCTCATACCCCTCCTTTCTTTTCATTCTCTTTTTAGTTTTTCATTGTACAGTGCTAATGTATTCCATGACCTAGTATTCTTTTATAGTATGAATAAATACTATTGAAATTATAATCTTCTGAGTTACTTGTTACTTTTCAGTTTTTTAGGCCTACACAAAAGACATATTTTTCAGAGGCTTGTGTGAGTTCATTACTATTTAAATATGATATGCTTCATTAAAAATTTTTTTAAAGATTTTATTTATTTGAGAGAGGGAGAGAAAAAAAGAGAGACACAGTGGGAGGCAGGCAGGGGCAGGGATAGAGGGAGAAGCAGACTCCCTGCTGAGCCAGGAATCCCGACAGGCTCAATCCCAGGACCCTGGGATCATGACCTGAGCTGAAGGCAGACACTTAACCCACTGAGCCACCCAGTCATCCCTACTTCGTAAAAATTTAAAGATCGGTTGTGGGGTTTCTATAGAGGTGGCAGTCTGGTTATAGGCAGCGGGGCAGCATTGGCTGGGAGGAAGTGCTTAGAAGTAGTGTTTGTGAGCATGGGAAGCACGTAATTCTTACTTAGAGTTACTTTATTTAGCAGGGAGGAAGAGGGGCCAATGGAGCTACTGGAGATAAAATTCTTCCAGGCTCTCTCTGGGTCTCATCCTCGAACCTGCAGTCCCTCCCTCCATTTATTGTAGCGGCTAAAGGTAGGACTTTGACGGAGGCTCAGTCCCTGAGTGGTCTCATGCTTGGCCCACTTCCATTGATTTCCTCTCATTTTTTAATCCACAGCTACAAAAAAAGAAAAAAAAAAAGAAAACCAGCCCTTTCTGTGACTACAGGCTCATCCTTGCACAGAGGACCTGCATCGTGTGCAGACACATATGCTCATACTCATGATTAAAGATGGTTTGTTGTGCAATGAAATTATTAAGCATATTCTGTGTTTCTCCAGGGGCTCCTCGTGATTTGAAGTGTATAACTAACAATTTGCGAGTATGGGACTGTTCTTGGAAAGCACCCTCTGCAGCAGGCCATGGTACTGTTTATGAAATTTGCATCGAAAACAGGTAAAAGAAATACTTTGGTTGGGATCCCTGGGTGGCGCAGCGGTTTGGCGCCTGCCTTTGGCTCAGGGCGCGATCCTGGACACCCGGGATCGAATCCCATATCGGGCTCCCGGTGCATGGAGCCTGCTTCTCCCTCTGCCTATGTCTCTGCCTCTCTCTCTCTCTCTCTCTCTCTCTCTCTCTCTCTCTGACTATCATAAATAAATAAATTTAAAAAAAAAAAAAAGAAATACTTTGGTTAACTAATAGATATGACTAAAGGCCTTTAATATTAGAGCATATTTTATTCTAGAAATTTTTAAATGAAAATTTTAAATCTTCACCCTCTATTTCCTAAAAAGTCTGAATCTTCTATCAATCAAGGTGGAAACAAACCTTCTCCAAAGCTTTGATTCTTGTATTATATGAATTTTAAGTATGAAATACACTTTTACTGTGGATTCTAATCTGCTATAAAGTTTTACTGGTCCATCCCAAATCAACATCTGTCTAGATCAGTTAGGTTCAGGTTTTGACTTTGCCTAACAAGAAATGTCAGCTCTGGAGCGGGGAGTTCAAGGCTGGCATGGTCATTGATGAAAGACCCAGGTTCCTCTTTATCATGCTGCTGTGCCATCTTTAGCATGTGATGTCATGGTTCAAGAATGCTTGAGGAGTGGCTGTCATGGCTTCATTCCAGAAAGCAGTGAGGAAAAGGATGATTTTCTTTAAGGAGACCTCTAAGAGGTCCCACACAACACTTCTGCTTGCGTCTCATTGAAAGAATTTAGTCAAATGATGAAGCCTCTTTGCATAAGAGGTGGGCAAGTGCCTGGATAAACCTTGAGTTATTATTATTAAGGGAAAGGGGGAATGGACATTAGGAGGTCAGTGACAGGTTCCCTCACACCACCTTCCCCTCTCAGGTAATCTTGGAGAGGGCCACAGGCTCTGAAGCCTAGAGGTGAGGCCTTTGGACTGTCTGCAAACCAAAACATTTCTCCCCTTGCCCCCAATTCCATCAGGGCTCTGAGTGGTTCAGCGTCACCAGAGTAGTTCAGCACAGCAGCTCCAAGTCCTGTTTTGCTGATGGGTGGTCCTAATGTAAACTGACATAAGTGGGCATTCAGGTACTACTCAGGTGTTTTGTTCCCATTTGGTGTATGTTTATTGAGCGTTGGTCTAAGCTTTGTCGTGATTTGTCAACCAGGAAGAGCTTGTTTGTGTATTAGAAATAGCCCTAACATCTTATTTCCTTATTTTCTGCTGTGAAAATAAAAGATTATTTCCTCCTTGTGTTCTGTGTCCACCTTGGGTCAGCTGGCATCTCTGCCCCAAGTCTCTCCTCAGGGACCCAAGCCTAGGGGTCTCTTACCCTCCAGTGCATAAAGATAGGAAGGAGAGGCAACACAGCCTATGCTGGCTTCCAGAGCTTCCCTCCCGAAGAGATAGATGTGACTTTTGCTCACGTTTCTCTGCAAATAAAGCCAATTCGCCATGCGTTGATTCAGAGGAGCAGGAACTGTAATCCTGTTGTGAATCCAGAAGGGAAGAACCTGAAAAATTTGGTAAATAACATAAATGACTATCTCAGGCCAAAGAGAGAGGAGGTTGTTCAGAATCTCCAGGAGTTCACAAGAAACAAATCACTGTGGGTTAAGTGCTGATGGAAATTATATGTGAAGGGCTGAGGGAGCACTGACTGAGGAGTGTGGGGCTCCTGTCAGAGGTGTGATTATGGAGTGTGAATACCCAGTTTCTCAGAAAAAGGACAGAGAACATTCCAGCCTGAAAGAATATGGGTTCAATGGCATGATCTTATGAAATAGCACCATTTAGTGAATTCAGGTGGTTTTGTGTTATTGGCAGCTAAGGAGTCCTGCCCCTGTGAGGATGAGAAGCAGTGAGCCGACCTGTTAAGTCAGAGTCCAGAGTAAAGAACGTGAAGAGGCCTGTGCAGGGTTGCAGGAGACACTGCACTGCCCCTCTGCTTGAGCTCAGATTTGCATGGGAGGTTAGAAGTGTATGTGAAATACAATAAAGAGAATGTAAATGGGCTTTGTGAAGGTTCAAAGGAACCAAGGGGGAAAAAAGCGACTTTTGTGGAGGAGCTCGTGGGTGGGGAACTAGAAGAGTTTTGAAAGCAGAGCAGGTGAGAAGGTGTTCATGCTAAACCTTGGGTCAAAACAAGGAGCAGTGGACAGATCGAAGGTGTGTCTGAGGCCACAAGCAGCCAGTTTAGTTTCATTCCCATCCTCAGTATTTGTGTGGAGCGCCATCTCAGCATGAGACCTATGATGATGTAGAAGTGTAGAAGTGCAGGGTGACGGGAAGGCTGCAGGGGGGAGGTTGGTGGGAGTTTGAAGGGCATGCTAAAATCCTGAGTTTCTTGATAATAATCATCCCTCCTATCACTCGACTTTCTAGTACAGTCTGGTTATTCATCCTCCACGTTGATGCACTTACCAGTAATTAACCTCTTTTTTTCAGGGTTGTTTTTTTTTTTAAGATTTTATTTATTTATGAGAGAGAGCATAAGCAGAGGGGAGAGGCAGAGGAGAGGGAGAGGCTGAGCAGGGAGCCTGTGTGGGACTCAACCCCAGAACCCTGGGATCATGACTTGAGCTGAGGGCAGATGCTTAACTGTCTGAGCCACCAAGGCACCACCCCCCCCCAACTTTTTTTCAGTCTTAAGATGCAGCATAACATATCATGTTTTTGTATAAAAGAACAAAGCGCCTGGGTGGCTCAGTGGTTGAACCTCTCTGCCTTTGGCTCAGGTTGTGGTCCCGGGGTCATGGGATCGAGTCCCGCATCGGGCTCCTTGTAGGGAGCCTGCTTCTCCCCCTCTGCTGTGTCTCTGCCTCCTTCTCTGTGTTTCTCATGAATTAAAAAAAAAAAAAAAGTATTTTCCAGCACATTTTGTGCTAATCATATTTTTATAAAAATTGCACTGTCACTTTATCTGCTAATTAAAATTTGATTTTTTCTGTTGCAGGTCCCATTCTTGTTATCAATCAGAGAAAACAAATACTAAAATTCCAGCTCTTTTACCTGGTGATCATGAAATAACAATAAACCGTCTGTATGATTTCGGAAATCCTATAAGTAAATTCACACTGAATGAAAAGAATGTTTGTAAGTATTTGAAAAGAAACTTGATTTGAAAATAACTCAGTACAGTGCCTTTCTGTTTAGTATTGCAGTGCTTTATAATTGTCAGAAATTTACTCTTCTTTTTTTGAAATTCAGTTGTTAGACTAACACTTGGATTTTCCCAGCAACCATTGACTGTGACTTATGGAGCATAGCCAAGATGGGGAAGGAAGCAGACTGCCTTCTAGTCAAAGTAGATGTCACAGAGTTCAGGATCCTTTCCACATTTGGATGCTTTTCTTGTCACCTCTTCGCCTCATTGATTCCTGCATACCTTTCAGAACTTCTCAGGTGTCCCATGCTTTAGGAAGTAGTTTTACTCTCCTAGAGGAGACCCTATTCCTGTCTTAACATTCCCTTAGGCATGGGTGTTTTTCCTTATGGCATTTCTTACAGTTGCATTACTAATGTATTATGTGATGAGGAACTTATTATGTGTCACTTCCACAAGAAAATAGGTTCAGTAGAGCAGGGAGTTTCTTTCCTAGCCTACTGCCTTGCATGTGGCAGGCATCTTGTAGACAGATTGCATGTCTACGATCTAGGTTACAGGCTGAGTGGAGTCATGAAATAGACCCAGGCTGATGGAAGTGGAAATTGTGCTACACAGTGAGACCTTAGAAACCCCAGGAGTCTTGACTCTTAATGGTGGGGGAAGCAGGTTTGTTTGCTCTTGATAACTATTATAGGCGTGGCATCATAATGATATAATGGGTTTTATAAAGATGACTTACTTTGAAACAAGGGGGAAAAATATAATTAACTTGGTGACCTGTCCAATTTCATGGATAAGATGCCTGTTTGGAGTGGTCTGTGTCTGAGATAGAACAGATTCTGAAAGGACAATAGCAAAGCAAGCTTTCCAGGAACTTCGCATCTGTCTCACTGCCTTTCAAGATAAAGAAAGCAGAGCCATGTTTGTTGTTTTCTTTCTGTAGCTGAATGTGAGATCCAGGTGAGAGTGTTTTGTACAGATCAGCTCTCAATACCCACAGAGAAATACTGTTAACACGTAAATATATTTTCTATGCATATTCATATAAACAGTAAGGTTCATTTTACTTTATAATCTGCTTAACAGAGGCATAGATTTTCAATGTGTTATCTAAATCTGTCTTATTTTTATAGGTTGCATAGTATTCCATTGAATAGAGGTACTGTAATTATGTTAAGCGATTGATTATTAACATTGGGATTTTTATTTCTGGTTTTTCAGTATTATAACCAGTGCTTTAGTGAGCATGTTTTACACTTGTATGTTTCTAATTTCAGTGGTGATTTCCTTAGGCTAAATTCCTAAATTGGGAATGCTGCCCTAGAGATAATCTTCTTGTTAGGACTTTTGATGTCCATTGGCAGTTGTTCTTCAGAACTTTTGAGTCTCTTTGCATTTCCACAGATATCCTATGAGAGGGGCCTGTTCTTTACTTCCTTGCTGATATTGTCCATTTCTCTTAGTTTTGCCATTTCAGTCTGAAGGCCCCTAATTATAGCACTTTGTTTTTGCGTTTCTGTGATTACTTAAAAAAAAAAATCAGTCATTTTTATTCTTTTCTGAACTGTCTGTATTCTTTCTCAGTTTTCTCTTGTGTTGAAATTCAGAATTTCCTTCGTCACTTCACAAGAGCTCCCTATATTATGGTTATTAATTCTGTCATAATTTGCTACAAATAATTTTCCAAGTTTAAAATTTAAAACTTCATTGGCTTTTGTCTTTATATAAATAGACTCATTTGCTGTTTTTCTTTGAGCTTTTGGTTTGGTTATCATACTTGATTTAAATCTTTTACCCATCTAGACTTATTTTGTAGTAAGGTGTAAGGAATCTAACTTAGTTTTATTCCAGATTTTTAAAAAAGTCCCCAGGACTCTGAGAGCCAGTTTGTATTGTCTGATTTTTCAGCAGATATTGAGAAAGTTCTGCCCCGGGAAGCTACTTGAAGGTGATAGTATTTGACAGAAAGATCTAGAAGGGCACATTAAGACAGACTCTAGATGACTTATGAGATGAATAGTTTGTTATTTTTACATATCATGTAATTTATTGATAGAATTTTAATATATTGGGTCTGATTATGATCAGAATATTAGATTAACAGCATCCCAATAGTAAGATATTACTAATACTACTACTATAATACAGATAAGAAAACTGAAAAGCAAACTAGATGAATACAAGAGAGATGGATGCATCAGCACATCTTTGAGTACCTCCTGTGTTCGGAAGGAGCTATGAAATGATAGTGTACCTGTATGTTAGAGGATCTGGGTTTTTTGGCAGTTTGCTGTGAATAAAAATATGAGAAGTTAACTTTTCTCCAGATGCTTTCAACACTATACATATGAAGCAAACAAGGTATATTTAATATATATATGCATATATAAAATAAGCTTCTAATTGACAAGGGCAAACACAAAAATAAGGCTTTGTAAGACTTTTAGTGCCTCAGTTTCTTAAAATAACCTGAAAATATGGATCTGTCTGAGGCAGAATAAATAATGTGGATCCTATAAATGAGCTGGGAAAGCTCCGATCTTCTGATGTTTAAGCAAAAAAGAGCATGGAGGTTATGGGTAAAGATGGACTAGCTTTAAAAAATAAACAAACACAAGTGATTAAATTTATTTCCCAGATGAAAAGTTCCTGTCCTCTAGAAAGCAAGTTAATATTGTCCTCAAGTGTCTATTTTAGCTGGAAAGAAATGCAGATGATAGTTTATGGGAGCTTAGGGATACTTCCCATTTTACTGTGAGGAAGTGTACTAAGAAGTAACAAAGAAAATGTGTGTATTTAAATCTTTCATTTGTGTAATTGTGATTAATTCTGTCTTTAGCTTGAAATACCAGATATGACTTGTGTTTTGAAGAATAGCCCACTTCTATTTAGACAAAATGTAAATTATGTGTACTTTTCAGGGAGGGAACATTTTAATAGATGAATATTGCTTTAGTGTAAATGCTCCTAAATTTCATAATTTTTAAGTTAGACTATATTGTGACAGCCTGAAACATTTGAAAGAACCATATTCTTAGAAACCTCTGCTCTCAGGTCACACCAGACCTTGAACTTTCCCTCTCCTGGCACTAAGGCAACTTCTTGCTCATTTGCTCCTTCTGTTTTTTTGTTTTGTTTTTTTAAGTTTTTAATTCCAGTTAGTTAACATATAGTGTTTGTTATATTAGTTTCAGGTATATGATACTGATATCATATGGCTCCTTCTGTTTTAAAACCAGCTCCTACTTAAAACTTGTCCTATCAAGCATCCTCCACTGTTCTTACATAGCTGTGAAACCATTGACTTTGCCATATAGTGTTTTGGTTTTGGAGCCACATGTACTGTTTCCTGTACAGCTGTAAATGTTTTACAAAATACAATGTAGAGCACTTGTGGCCAGCAAATTTTATTTAAATTTATTAAGAACTTATTTTTAAATTATAAGACTAATTTTTATTGGTTTGCTCTGCCCTTTTTGTTATTTAACACTTTCAGCTACTCTACCTCTGTAAAGTCCTGCAAATATGTACTTCCATGACTTACTTAACTGGCCCTTGGGCTTCGTGAGGAGGTGGTAGGGTAGGTATGAGGCCCAAGAGCATTTTTCTCTCAAATTCTTTTAACTTACCTTCACTTATTGTTATTTGAAGAGAGAACATGCAAGAAAGAGTCCCCACATTGTCTGCCCTTCATACCAGAAAGCCTACGTTTCACAGAACGGAACAGGCTCACACCTTGATCCAAACTATTTGAGTAATTTACTCATCACTTATAGGTAGGGAGACCTGAAGATTTTAAAGAATACCTCACTTTTTCTACCCCCACCCCTTTTGTTTAATTTACCATTTTCTCCCTGTGAGATACTGTATCCTAAAACATGGTTCTTTTTCTTTTTTAAAAAGATTTTATTTATTCATGAGAGACACAGAGAGGCAGAGACATAGGCAGAGGGAGAAGCAGGCTCCCTGTGGAGAACCTGATTCAGGACTCAATCCCAGGACCCTGGGATCACGCCCTGAGCCAAAGGCAGACACTCAACCACTGAGCCACCCAGGTGTCCTTACCTTTTTACGTTTTGTACTGCAGCTTTGAGCCCAGTGTCTTCCCAGACTTCTCTCGCCAAGGGTAGTACCATCGCCAGTGCTACTGGTCTTTTCTCACTTTTCCTCTATGAACTCTTTTATTTGGCCTAAAATGACAACCCATTTCTTTTAGTCTCAGCAGTGCTGGATCTTCTCTCATTTCCTTCTGCCTCTCAGGATTCTTGCTGCGGTTCTCTGGTTCCTTGAAGGTGTGACTGTCTATACTGGTAGCTCTCAAACAAGCTTCAGCTCTTCTCTGAGTCCTGCTTTTAAGTCTGTTTCCTCAGCTGCCCTGAGCGAGTTCCTCTTGAGTCTGTGTCCATGGTGCTGATGGTCCCCGTTCTCACTCACTGTCTGCGGACCTCTTCACAGATCTTCTGTCGCTCCTCTGACACTTGGTCACTCATAGCCTGTCTCTTGCATTTCTTCACAATGTCTGTGGTTCCTTGTGCCTGCTTTCTAAGATAGAAACTTGAGGAAATCTTAAGTGTTTCCCTTTCTCGTTGTAGTAATCCTTCATTTCTTTGATCTGGTCATTTCTTTGAAATGCCCATCAGAGTTTTTCCTTTTCCATATCCCTCACGCACATGACGAGACATGATCTTGCGACTCTGGTCAGCCTTTCTCCAGTGGTCTTCCACTTAATCATGCTCTCTCTCTCTCAGCTCCCTGCACTACACTACACGCCACAGCTCACCTAACCTTTCCAAAGGACTTCTTATCCTGCTGAGTACTTGCCACATCTGAGTACCCTGTTGACTCCCTCACTCAATGCCTTGGTCATTCTTACTAATTACAGATTAGTAAGCCAATTACAGATACCTAAGCCAATATTAGCTCATAGCATCCCCAAGTAGCATCAGGGGCTTTGACACTGTGAGGTGATTGGGAAGGGTGCAGAGAAAACAGATAGAAAGCTCTACCAAAGCAAGCTTTCCGTATTCCATCATTTTTTTGGGCCTGACCTACAGTCATACAGAGGAAGCTCCTTTACTTCTCTCTGATTTTGCCCACTTACAGATTCCAGACTGATGAACTAGAGTTTTGTGGGAATCTGATTATTTGTATTAGAAGGCATATTAGGATATGGTAGTAATTTTCTCAGATTTGACTGATGAATCATTAGGAGCTGCTTATGTAAATAAATACATGTATTCTCTTTTTTTCAGTAATCACTTTGAGAGTTTGCTTTCTTTAGAGAGAGGGTGTGTGTGTGTGTGCATGTATGTGCAAGGCAGGAGCAGAGGTGGGCTTGGGGAGAGAGAATCTTATGCAGGCTGCATGCCCAATGTGGAGCTGGATGTGGGGCTCAATTTTACAACCATGTGATCACAACCTGAGCTGAAATGAAGAGTCAGATGCTTAACTACCTGAGCCACCAGGCACCCCCAAAGTTTGCTTTTAATTCTTGATTATTTTTTTTTTAAGATTTTATTTATTCATGAGAGATACAGAGAGAGGCAGAGACACAGGCAGAGGGAGAAGCAGGCTCCATGCAGGGAGCCCGACAAGGGACTCGATCCAGAGTCTCCAGGATCATGCCCTGGGCTGAAGGCAGTGCTAAACTGCTGAGCCACCCAGGCTGCCCTAATTCTTGATTATTTTTTGACCAAGATGGAATTGTGTTTAAAAGTAGTCAATTAATGGAATTACAATATGAAAAACCATTACTTATTTTACTAAGTTGTATCTTGTTTTCTCTTTTTCAAGCCTTAATTCCAGACACGCCAGAGATCTTGAATTTATCTGCCGATTTCTCAACTTCCACAATACACCTAAAGTGGAATGACAGGGGTTCTGTTTTTCCACATCAGTTAACTGTCATCTGGGAAATTAAAATTCTACGTAAAGAAAATATGGAAATCGTAAAATTAGTAAGTTTGAACCAAAATAGATTTTTTCCTATGACATCAAAGAAACCAAGTAATTTTTAAAAGATTTTTAAGGTGATATCAGAGAACTTTTACATGGTTAAGGAAATAGTTCAAAAATCCTTTCAGGATTCATTAAAAACGATGTGCTATTACTCAAAAATCACTTACTTATTAAAGTCATGTATAACTTTCTAATTAAAGTAAGTTTAGGAAATTAAGGGAGGAATAATCCATGATTCCACCACTTGACCACAGTAAATGTTACTTTTGTGTTTTCTGTTTTTTTTGTGTGTGTGTTTTCTGTTTTTTTTATATGAATGTTTTTACATAAGTGAAATAAATGTATATGTATAATTTACTATTTTTATTTTTGTCTAATACTATAAACATAATGTTTTTGAAACATACTTAGTCATAGTAATTGTTGGGAAATTTTGTATAAGCTTATAAGTTTGAATTTATCTGAATCTGAAATAACATTCTTACATTTAATAGCACATGTTTTTCTTCTCAGTTTTTTAAAAAAATTTGCTTATGAATGGTTTCCTTATGATCTGTTTTTAGTTTTATTATCCTTTAGATAAGAGGAATAGTAGTGGAAAGTTTTGACAGGGTATATGGTAATTCCCTCTTTTGTCCTTTTACTCCTTTCCTCCTTGATGAAGATTTGAAATCCACTTAATTACAGATTTAAGAATTAGAAGACTGCCTCATGATTTTACAAGTATTTGCCTAAGTACATGGATAAGATAGATCATAAAAGATAAAAAAAATAGAATTATTCTTTTTCATAGTTGTCCTGTTTTTCCTCTCTGATACTCTATATTACATTCCTAAAATAGTGGCAACTGTAACTGTAGGTAGGGTGTGTTCATACTTCCCCCATTGCTGACATTGTTGTAAAAGCTCTGTATGTGTTCATCACTTTGCATCCTCACAACAGACCCGTGAGGGAGGCACTATTAACATCATCCCCATTTTATAGATGAAGATACAGAGACACAGGAAGATATTAAGTAGTAGAGCCAGGACTCCAGAGTTACAGAGTCTATTCTCTTTCTTAACCACTACAATTTCTGTTACAAAACAGATATATTTATTTTCATAGAAGATGCTTTTTCTTCCTCTTCACCTGTGCAGATTGAATATATACTTCAAGACCTAAGTCAAATCCTGCCCTTTAGTTTAAGGCCCATTCTAATCACCTCAGCCTAAATGCTCTCTTTTTTGAATTTTAATGGCAATTCTTTCCTGTAAATCCAAGTTGCAGGTAGCTTTGAAACAGCTCTACCACTGTTGTCTTAACACTATTGCTTATCAAAAATTGTCTCGTGTAGCTTTTAATTATGGCCTGACATTCTGTGTTTTTGGTTACCACTTCCTGGCTTAGGGTAACTTCCCCAAACCTCCTTTTTCTCATTTGTGAAGTGGTGCCAAATATTTACTTCAGTAAATGATGATGATATCTATAAAGCTACTAAACAACGACTAGTTGTCAATACTTCCTTTGGGGGCGACCTAAGGGATGCTAAAATAAGAGGCTACTGTTTGAAGTGTAAGTGTAGTCAAGCATAAATGAATGGAAGTATTATTTTTAAGGTCATATAACTTATTGTCACAAGGTGCATCACAATAAGGCAGTGACGAAGTTGTATTTTTGGGGATCTGATTTTTGAAGAAAAATCTTTATATGGGGAAATAGAGCAAGAGGCAAGAAAAATAGAGATAGAACAAATTATTTTTTTTAAGATTTTAATTTATTTATTCATGAGAGACAAAGGAGAGAGGCAGAGACACAGGCAGAGGGAGAAGCAGGTTCCATGCAGGGACTTCAACGTGGGACTTGATCCCGGGTCTCCAGGATCACACCCTGGGCTGAAGGCCAGGTGCTAAACCGCTGAGCCACCCAGGCTGCCCTGGAACAAATTAATTTTTAAAAAGTAAAATGTGAGAGGATAAGTGTTACAGGTCTACAGTAAAATGTATAATTATATGTATATATTTTTAAGATTTTATTTATTTATTCATGAGAGACAGAGAGAGAGGCAGAGACACAGGGAGAGGGAGAAGTAGGCTCTATGCAGGAAGCCTGATGTGGGACTCGATCCTAGGACTCTAGAATTACGCCTTGGGCCAAAGGCAGGCACTAAACTGCTGAGCTACTGAGGGATTCTATAATTATATATTATTAATATTATTATTTAAGACAATTGCTTATTACCTGTCACTGTGCTATTTTGTGATTGTTTAAGAATCAAGAATACTGTACATTGGTGTTTCAATTAGAATTTGACAGTTTCTGGGATCCCTGGGTGGCTCAGCGGTTTGGCGCCTGCCTTTGGCCCAGGGCGCGATCCTGGAGACCTGGGATCGAATCCCACGTCGGGCTCCCGGTGCATGGAGCCTGCTTCTCCCTCTGCCTGTGTCTCTGCCTCTCTCTCTCTCACTGTGTGCCTATCATAAATAAATTAAAAAAAAGAAAAAAAAAAGAATTTGACAGTTTCTGCCTATGGCCTCACATACAGGCACAGAAGTGGTGCGCTGCACTGGCCAGGGTGGGAATGACACCTGGAAGTTCTGCAGGACCCTGCTCCCTTCCCATTTTTCTCTCCATGTACACAGTAAATTTCATTTCTTTCTTTATGTATTTCCATTGTCCATATAACATGCTTTTGTTGCTCTTTCTTAATTTTTCTTTTCAGTTTTTAGCAATGATTTATAACAGTGGGAGATGAGATTTTAGTCTCTCACTTCCTGGGGCTTCATACACTTCTGACAGCAGTGTAATATGTGGCCTGGGCACATACTTGCATGCTTGTGTCCTTGCTCACTCGCTCACTCTTACATTTCCCATCTTTTTCCAGTATTGTTCTATCTTCTGTTGTAATTTTTGGTAGACTGGCATTCATTGTTTGTATTATGGTTATAAAAACACTATTTACAGCTAAACTAAGTAGTATATGTTAACCATTTTCCTTTTTTGGGTATAGCTTCTTGTATTATCTTGTATTTTTAGTTTTATTTTTGTGCCCCATTAATTCAATCCTGAATTCTCTCCAAGTTGTATGACTCTCCTGTTGAAATGTTCAAACACATTAGTATTTTATCAGGTATATGTTTATAAATACCTCTCTGGTGAGGCCTTCTGACTTACCTCTCAACCCTTCTTACATAGGGTTCACATAGCTACAATTTTCATGGAGCAGGAGACTGGTAAATATCTGAGGGCTCTTATAGCCAGAGGTTTCTCAGGAGCTCCAGCAGTCTCTACTCCTACCAGCCAACCCTAGGTTTTAAAGAGATTAATACCTGGGTGTACCTATAACTCATTCAGGACAAATCTCTGTGGTTTTTTGGTGCATTTCTTAGGAAGCTGTGATCCACGGGGTCTCTATCATCATCCAGAGGATACTTTTTACCTTTTTTTTTTTATGATAGATCCTCTTTTTCATGAATTCTTCCTCTTCCTCATTTGGGTGGAAGCATATATTCTAGTAGGTATCTGTATTTATTATAAATACTCTGGTACCTATAACAGTAGCTTGCAGATACACTTAAAACAATTTTTAATGTAATTAGTTTCGAACAAAATTTAAGATAGATATTGAGAAGATGCAGAACAATTAGAACTTTGCTACACTTCTGATGGGAGTATAAAATGCTACTTGATGAATTCATTAAGACACAACATTTCTAAAAATGTCATTATGCACTCATTCATGATTGCTGCTTTAGCTGGGTACAGAATTGTAGATTGGGGAATTTTCTCAGGATTTGGAAGACATTGTTCCTTTTGTTTGTTCTTGCATCTGTCTTCCCCTGTTGTGTGGACAGTCATTGGGCCCCTTTCAATCTGAAAACACATGTCAGCTTGGAAAATTTTCTTATTTTATGCCTTATGTCTTTGATTTCTTCATACCTGTTTTCTCCTTTTTTTTCTCTTAGAAACTCTGTTCTTCAGAAATTGGACCCTCTAAACTGATCCTCTAGTTTTCTTAATTGTTCCTAGTTTCTATCTGTATTTTTATTTTGCTCTATCTTCTGAACAGTTTTTCTTAAACTTTATCTTGCAGTCTTGCTATTGAATTTCTATTAACAGATATTTTTTATGTACTAGAGATCCCTTTTGTCTGTTTTATGGATGCAATATCTCTTATCTCTTGAGGACATCAGTTATTTAATTTTTTTTTCTTTCTATGTAGTCTGTTCTTCAGGTTCCTTTTTTCTTTATTTTGATCTTTGGCTCTCATATTAGAACTTTTCCTCCAATTTATGGTCATCCTGGTTGCTGCTCATATTTAAGTGAGTGGCTCTTAAAATTTTTTTTTAATCTAATTGGAACTTTTGTTTGCCATCCAGGGACTTGTTGATTGAGTCTTCATTATAGGTGAGGATGGGCCATGTAGTTGGCAAAATCTTATTATTATTTTAGGTTTTTATCTTGACCTGTTCATATGCCCCAGAAAAGTTGACTTACATTTTTATCTGGTAAGTAGGAACTCTGCCATCAGTATCCTGGGGGCTGAGTAGGAGAAGAAGGCAGGAGAACCCCAGCCTTCATAGTGCATAGGTTAGCAGTGCCTCTTTTTTTGGTACAGTATTCCTCATTCTCCACTCTTTCTGAGGCTCTTCATTCCAGAGATATTGTGTTTTACTTTTCCAGATCATAAATCATCATTCTGCCAAGATGAAGAAGGGTGGTCTTTTGGTAGCACAGAATGTAGGAGGGGTGTTTGGGTATCTAACATATCTTCAAACAACTTTCAAGCAGTTGTCTGCACCTCACCTTCATCATGCATTTCCAGGGAAGCCGGGTACAGCCCCCTCCTGAGCCCTTTGACATTACCATGGTAGAAATCAGGTTATTTCTGCCTTTTCCATTGGAGGCTTAAGATTCAGCTTTCTCACATCTTCTGAGTCCATTACTATTGTCCATAAGCTCTGCAGTATCCAGAATTTCACAGCTGTTGTTTCTTCTATTTTCTGCCCTTGTGCATCTATGCCTTTAAAAAAAAAATCTGTGTGCTTTTGTTTTACAGAGATTTCAGAAGGTAAGAGAGAGGGAAATACAATTATTTAATCTGTTGTCTTTAACTGGAGGTCCCGAGGTTTTTTTTAGATCTTTGATATTTGATTGAAATCCTTCCCGTTTTTCACAGTTGAGATTACTATTTTATCTTTTTATAAGCTGCATATTTAAAAATAAAAATTTAAACTTGTAACACATATAATAACCTAATCTGAAACATTTTGTTGAAATGCTGCTCCTCTCTTTGCCTTTAACTCTTGGAAATACCCATTATTTTTTTCTCAATGACAAATGGAGATAATTTTAAGCAATGGTACATTTCTCTGTAAACTGTATTGAATGTTTTAGAATATTAACATCATGTATAATCATGTAATGGAACCTAAAGCTAAAGAAGTAATAAACAAGTGCACTTATGATAAGCTCTAGGTGACGTATGGAAGTGTTGAATCACCATATTGTACACCTGAAACTAATATGACATTGTATGTTAACTATACTGGAATTAAAAGAAAAAGAAGTAGACATAAATGAATCATGATTGATGTTCCTATAACTCTCCTATTATGTCTTACAGCAAACTGAGATGGTTGTACAAAAGGGCAAACCTTTAACTTAGTGGTGATTGTATGCAGTTTATTGTGTTTTTTAAACTGAAAGGGAAGCAGAGCATATCACTACTTAGAAATCTTATTTTTCGTTTGTGTTCATTTTTTAGATAACCCACAACACAACTGTGAATGGTAAAGATACAGTTCATCACTGGAGTTGGACCTCAGACATGCCCTTGGAGTGTGCCATTCATTCTGTGGGAATTAGATGCTATGTTGATGATCCTCATTTCTCTGGTCGCAAAGAGTGGAGTGACTGGAGCCCATTGAAGAACATTTCTTGTAGGCTTGTACTTTAAAAAGCTTTCCTTTCAAATGAGTTAGATTCGGCTAATCTAGGGTTCACATGGCTACAGTGTTCATAGAGCAGGAGAGTTCTCCAAATGCCACTTAGTTTCATGAGGGTCACCTGAAGATCTTCTAAGTCTCCATTCCAGAACATTTTGATACAAAAACTCTGAAATAGAATTCAGGATCTGTATTTTTAAAGATCTTCCTGAGTGATTAGATAAACATCCAAGTTTGAAAATCACTGTGGGAGGCATGGAAAAACTTTTAAAACTTTTATGTAGATGTTATTGAGATCAAGTCTATATTTAAAAAAAAAAATGGCTCCTAGTTTCTTGCCCACAGAGCAGATCCCTGTCAGCTGCAGAGCTGTTACAGAGAACATGGGGATCTGTAAGTATCCCCCAAATCATCTGTACACTGAATGAAACCATGCAGGTAGAATGTTGGCAGTATGAGGAAGACCTGGAAAATTGTTGATGGTGAAATGAAGCCCTTGAAAAGGCTGCTTATCATTGTAGATTATCCACTCTAGTGACCACATGGAGAAACAGATCAGAGGAAGGAAGGACTGGGAGCATGTAGATAAGTAAGGAGGATCCTGTTGCAGTTCAGCAAAAGACAGTGAGTGATCGGGATGAAAGCCAGATTGCAGTAGATTAAAGAATAAGCAGGTAGAAAGGAAACGAGAGATAATTTAAAAGATTGGACGTTTAGGAAAATAAAAACAAAGGTGTGACTTTAACCTGCAGAGAGCTGGAGGTAAAGAAAACTGTGCTGTTTAGGATGTGAATACTTAAACATATATTCAGGCTGATGGAAAGAAAGAAGTCTGTCCTAAATACATAGAATCCTTTCAAAGGAACAGAATTATTCCATGAGTGACATTTTCTTGGTGTGGATTTTTCACATGTGGATATAAACCCATTTAATTTGAACCTTCAGACTTCTTAGACATTAACCTGTGACCTCAGGCATTGGCCTTCAATCCTCTCTGCTCCTCAATCCTGCTCCCCAGTTATCATCCATCAAAAGTATCTAAAACATACATGGTTTGATTTTATTTCTTGTATATATCTTACTCCTTTGAAAGCTCCTTTGGGCCACCATTATTACAAAACACTTTGTAGTATGTTTTATTAGGCTATTTTATGGCTAAAGACTTCTAAAGTATTTGTAATTCCTTTTGTTCTTTCTAGGGTCACCTGATTCTCAGACTAAGGTTTTCCCTCAAGACAAAGTGATACTTGTAGGCTCAGATATAACATTTTGTTGTGTGACTCAAGAAAAAGTGCTTTCAGCACAGATTGGCCAAACGAATTGTCCCCTTATCCATCTTGACGGGGAAAATGTTGCAATCAAGATCCATAATATTTCTGTTTCTGCAAATAGTGGAACAAATGTGGTTTTCACAACAGAAGATAACATATTTGGGACGGTTATTTTTGTGGGATGTAAGTATATAATATTAAAGAGTTTCTATTTTGGTCCTCTTTAAAAGTTTTAATACTGTTTCCAAGGGAAAGGGGATGGTTCTATTTCTTTTAAAAAAAATTTTTTAATATATATTAATGATATATGAAGGCACCAGAATTTTTGCTTATTTTAAGATGAGTTATAGGCTTGTTTTCTATATGCTTGTATTCATATAACTTGTAGCTTTTGTACTAAGATTTGAAACATCCAGATGCTTATTTTTAAATTCTTAGCTAACAACTTTGTTGAGACAAGAGTAGTTTGTATATAATATTTTTTAATCCTATATTGTTTAGGAATTATTTCATATACAGCTGACCCTTGAACAAAACAAATTTGAACTGCATGGGTCTTCTTATACATGGATTTGTTTTAAGGTTTATTTATTAGAGAACATGTAGGCAAGGTTGGGGGGAGGGGCAGAGGGAGAGAAGCAGACTCCCCACTGAGCATGGAGTTTGATGGGCTCAATCCTTCAACCCATGAGATCATGACCTGAGCTGAAACCAAGAGCCAGATGCTTAACTGAGCCCTCCAGGTATCCGTATATGGATTTTTTTTTTATTAACTACAGTACAATACTATAAATGCATTTTCTCTTACGATTTTTTAACATTTTCTGTAGCTGATTTTATGGTAAGAATGTAATACATATGGCATCATTAAATATGTATTAATCAGTTGTCTATGTTATAGGTAAGTCTTCCAGTCAGTAGTAAAGTACTAGTAGTTGAGTTTTGGAGGAGTCAAAAGCCATGTGTAGATTTTTTTTTTTTAAGATTTATTTATTCATGAGAGAGAGAGAGAGAGGCAGGCAGAGACACAGGCAGAGGGAGAAGCAGGCTCCATGCAGGGAGCCCGACATGAGACTCGATCCCGGGTCTCCAAGATGACACCCTGGGCTGAAGGTGGCGCTAAACCGCTGAGCCACCCGGGCTGCCCAGTGTAGATTTTTTTTAAGTTTATTTGTTTTAGTAATCTCTGCAGCCAGTGTGGCGCTCAGACTCGCGATCCCCAAGATTAAGAGTCGAATGCTCTTCTGACTAAGCTAACTAGGTGCCCTTGTAAGTACATTTTTGACTGCATGCAAAGTCAGTGCTCCTAACTGCTGTGTTGCTCAAGAGCCAACTCTAATCAATTTCCCACCTAAAACATACCTTTTAAAATTAAAATTTAATACCTAACTTTTAAAACATACACCAATTAAAGAAACCATGATTTTACACAAAATCTTTCAATAGCTTAATTTATACTTCTCCAACCTTTAAAGTCATATATTTGAGAAGGAGAGAGTAGCTGGAGGACGTGCATGAGAAGCGGCCCTCTCTCTCTCTCTCTGCTCCATGTGTAACATATGCTCCATAGTGCAGGGCCATCTTCATTAACATGGTCACTCCTGCAGTTGTAAAATTCCATGACATTTCCAAAAGTGTTAGGGGACTGCCCTATTTATATAGCTTTTGTTGAAGAGCCACAGAGAATTTTGTGTTTTGAGTTTTTCTGTCCCCTCTCCCAGGGTAACTGTGACATGGTGCACTCCTGGCTTTGCCCAGGGTAGTGCTTGGTTCCCTTCTCCCCAGCATTCTGAATTAGAGGCTGAGTTTGGTCTGCCTGGTCTCTTGATTAAAGTGTATGGAATATAGTGGATGAATTTTGTGATTTTATTTTGATCGTATGGTGATTTTTCTTACCCTCTTTTTGATTCTCAGCTGTGCTCTAGACCAGCAGCTCTCCATCTCTCAGTTTCTTCCAGTGAAATTTAGGATGAAGTTTGTTGAATTACTGATATATCCCCAAGGGAATAACCAGGATTAGATGCACTTCTCAGTTTTGATGGTTATAACCTTACTCTCTTTGTCTTCCCAGTTATACATTTTGGAATTCAAGTGAGAGTGAGATTATGTTCAAATTTAAACTTTAGAAATTTCCTTCCTGATGGAATTTTGGGAAATGACTTGCAGTGTTCTTCACAAATGATCTGGAATAAAAGTGGAGAACCAGTGTATGTGGAGTGAGGCTACATTATGATAAGTGATACCAATAAGTGAGATACCCACTTAAAAGTATGAAAGACAAAAAATTAAAACTCAGAAGATGAGATTATTCATCAGGTTTTTATTATTTCCAATAGAGTTCTAATCTTCTATCATAATAGTAGAATGAGCCTACTTAATTCATGACTTAACCTTCATATATGGCATTTGGGGGTGGAAATATTCAATATTTGTTAACTCAGAAGCAGCAATAGAATTTCCCTTCAGAGGGATTTCTTTAGGAACTTAACAGCAGGGGCAGTGTATGGCGTGAGTTAGGGATTAAGATTCATTATTTTCTCTCCCTTAGAGAGATCCTATTAATCCGCCATATGTTGAAAAGACACAATCAAAACCTGCTAGGATTTTGATTCGAGTTACATTAGATTTATCAATTTAGGAGAGACCAGTTTAGGAGACTTTTCATTCTCACTATATTGAGTTATCCAAACCAGAAAATGGTATATCTTTTCATTTAGTTATGTCATCTTTGATTTATTTTAGTGATAGGAGGTCTTCTATATCTTTTAGTGAATTTGTTCCTAAGAGTTTGATGTTTGATACTAGTACAAATGGCTTTTTTCCCCTCTTCAGTTTATTATTATAATTGCAAATGCATTTGTTATCCAGCAGACAGAATAGTTATTTACCAGTACTTGTCAGTGTTTATGCATGAGCTAATTCAGTTAAAGCAGAATCTTTTATAAACACCATGCATTGAATAATCACTGTTACTTTCATAGATAGTACCACTTTAGCATTTAAAATTGACCTAAATATTAATCTTTCATCATACTTAAGAATTTCAATATACTATACCATGACATAGAATTAGAGCTTATAAATATGTCACATGTCAAATTTTATACTTTCTCATTCGAAAATATTTTCATAAAAATGGCTTGGTTTTTTAAATTGCATTTTCTATTTTATGGTAATGCAATTGATTTATACCTAATTTTTATCCAGCTTCAGCTGATTCCTTTGTAAGTTATTTTCTTTGAGAAGACAGTACATTACCTTTCAAATACTGCCTTCTCATGTTCTTTCTCCCTCCATCTTTGCTTCCACTTCTTTCTAATGTGCTTCTGTTACTTGGATTTTAACCATTCAACTTAACATATCTGCCAAATACTAAGATAATCAACATTTTAAGTATACTAAAAAATTTGGTATGTGATTTTAATAAAATGACTGAAAGTTTAGCCTTAGATTTAAAACAATTTTCAGGGTGCCTGGGTGGTTCAGTCAGTTGGGCATCTGCCTTCAGCTCAGGTCACAATCCCAGGGTCCTAGGATCCAGCCCCACATTGAGCAAGGAGCCTGCTTCTCTTCTCCCTCTTCCTCCTACCCCACTGCTCATATACTCTGTTTCTATCTCTCTCAGATAAACAAATAAAATCTTTTTTTAAAAAATGAAACAATTTTCAAAACAAGTATGTCAGTGTTAGTCTGATAATGGAGCTGTTAGACTTTAAATACTCATGATTCCTCTTAATACCTAAAATGCCATTAACAGACATTTTTCTATCTCGAGAAGGTATGTGAAATTTTCTATGTCCTTTTAAGTCTCTTAAGACAGTCTAAGAACTGTTTTTAAAAAACAATTATTTTACAGAATTTTTCAACAAGTAGATAATTGTTTTTTAAGAACTTAGTGAAAGATAGTTTGGATAAATATGACAGAGAACACCAGTTTCTGTGTATACTTGATTAAACATGAATACAGAAATATCGATTTCTATAATTAGTAGTGTCCAACTGCAGAATTTTCCATTATTAAAGGTCTAAGACACACGCAAATATTTACTTTTTTCTAGTTATGCCCCTGCAAAGCCAGAGGGAATGTTCTATAAAGAACAAAAACGGAAGAGCAGTAGTCACTTTGAACATAGGAAGATGCAGAATTTTACCAAGAGATACTTTGTGAATAATAGTCATTGTAACTTTTTTAAGAACTCTGAAACTTGTAACATGGCTTGCGTTGACCTTTAATCTGAGTTGGTACCACTTTTCAAATCACAGTATATACATGATAGATAATAATACTTGAACCCAGTAGGTTTTTCTAATTTGTTGGATACAGCTTCCTTTGAGAGATTTGGTAGGATTTAAGGGGGAAAAAATGTCTTCAGGTTGCTGTTGGGGAGTTTGCAAATGAGTGAGTAGTCATTCTGCAGTATATTTTAATCCATCATTTCTAACAAAATATGAACTCCAGAAAAACATGCTACAGAAAGCACGGCAATTCCTGCATTGTTCAAAAGGTAAAACATAAACAATGAGTTTTTTCACTTCTAAAGGAAATTGTATAAATATAAACATTTATAAAACATGTTTTCAGGGAAAATATATGTAATCCATAAGTAACTACATTTTTTTCCTATTAGATCCACCTGATATTCCTCAAAAAGTGAATTGTGAGACATACGATTTAAAAGAGATTGTCTGTACTTGGAATCCAGGAAGACCAACCGCATTGGTGGGCCCTCGCAATACAAGTTATACTTTATTTGAAAGGTAAAAGTCACCAGGGAAATGTGTCAAACAGCAAGGGGTACATTGGAGGGTATTAAATGACAGAGGGAAATGGAGTGATTTAATTTATGTTATGAGTAAGATATAAAACCTAATATGCTGTATAAAATTGGATAAATGTGAATACTGCAAATGAATATGCACACAAACTAGATTCGTATGCCTTTTTTTTTTTTAAGATTTTTTTATTCATTCATGAGAGACAGAGAGAGGCAGAGACACAGGCAGAGGGAGAAGCAGGCTCCATGCAGGGAGCCCGACGTGGCACTCGATCCCGGGTCTCCAGGATCAGGCCATGGGCCAAAGGCAGGCGCTAAACTGCTGAGCCACCCAGGCTAGCCTCGTATGCCTTTTTAAAAATCCTAGAAGAACCCTCAAATATCAACAAACTATTTCTAAATAGTAGGCTTATGGCTGATTATTTTCCTCTATTTTCTGTATCACATACGTTTTCTTCACCAGGTATGTAGTACATCTAGACTTAGAAATATAAACTTTGGCCCCTCTGGGTGGCTCAGTGGTTGAGTGTCTGCCTTTGACTCAGGGCGAGATCCCAGCGTCCTGGGATGGAGTCCGCACTGGCTTCCCCACAGGGAGCCTGCTTCTCCCTCTGCCTATATCTCTGCCTCTCTCTGTTTCTCATGAATAAATAAGTTTAAAAAAAAAGTTTAAGTTTTAAAAAAATAAAAAACTTTTAAAAAAGATTATTAGAAATTTACACATTCATTTTTTTCATGAAGTATTTATGTCTTGCCACTTTGAAATTATTTTAATATTTATTGTTGCTGGAATGCTTGGGTGTCTTAGCGGTTTAGTGCCTGACTTTGGCCCAGGGTGTGATCCTGGAGTCCCGGGATCGAGTCCCACATTGGACTCCCTGCATGGAGCCTGCTCCTCTCTCTCTACCTGGTGTCTCTGCTTCTCTCTCTATCTGTGTCTCTCATGAATAAATAAAATCTTAAAAAAAAAATATATATATATGTATATATATTTATCGGTGCTCTCTTTTCATAGTTTTTCAGGGAAATATGTTAGATTTAAAAGAGTTGAAGCACCAACAAATGAAAGCTATCAGTTATTCTTTCAAATGCGTCCAAATCAAGAAATCTATAATTTTACTTTGAGTGCTCGCAATCCTCTGGGTCGATCAGAATCAACTATTTTGATTAACATAACTGAAAAAGGTAAGCTGCTGCATAAACCAGTTTCTTAAAAACAGTTTCAGAAGTGGTAAAATATTTTGAAATTAATGAAAAGTGCTTCTAGGGCTTTTTTTAAAATAATTTTCTTCATAGTTAATTTTACAAATTTTATTTTAAAATCTTTAAAATATTTGATTTCAGGTTTCACCATTTCATTGAATTTAGATAAAAATTTGAATTAGTTGTTACATAGAAACTTTAATTGGCTTTATCTAATGGTTTTTGACTTTTGAAAACTTTTTGCTTAATTTTTAAAAGCTTTTTATTTTTTTAAAATCTTTTTATTTTAAAATAATCATAGAGTCAAAAGTGGTTCAAATATGATAAAGCCCTGTGACATCTTCACCCAGCTTTCCCCACTTGCCACATTTTATTAATAACTACAGTACAATTTCCAAATGAGGCAGTTGGCTAATACAACACAGTAAACCAGACCAGTGAACTGTACTACTAACCTTGCTCAGGTTTTGCAAGTTTCTATGTGCATTTAGAGGTGTGTGAATGTGTATGTGCTTCTGTGCTGTTGGATCCGCATATAGATTCATGGAACCTCCAACACAGTCAAGATACAGAACTGTTCTGTTTCCACAAAGGAACTTCCTCTTGCTGCCTGATTAGCAAAACTCCCCACACCTCTGCCACTCACCCTCCCAACCCCACACTCTTGTATCCCTGTTCCCCGGCATCATTCACTCTGTTCTTCATCTCTGTGTTTTGTCATTTTGAAGTGTAGCATAAATGGAATCCTATAGTACATAACCTTTTGGAGATTGGTATTTTTTACTAAGGGTAATGTCCTTGAGATCCATCCAGATTGCTGTATATATCAGTAAGTGGTTTGTTCCCTTTTATTGCTGATGATTCTGGGATTTTTACCAGCCCTATTTATATATAGCTCAAAATAGAAATAAGATACGATCCATCTTCCTAGCATTCATTCCTGTGGGCATCCCACTGTACAACTCCATAGCATGCTCTGTAGCACACAGAGGACTGGCATAGCAGCCTTCTTGTAGAAAGGCTTAAAGCAAATGTGTTAAGAGACTGACAAGTGGTTAGTAGATGATCTTGTTGCCTTATTTGGAAATGTAAATACGCATGTCTATTAATTATTCCTTCTCATCATTTTTGTTATTTCCTGGTTTTCCTAAGCTACATGTTATACTTGACTGGTGGTGTTTGTGTGTATTTGTCTGTCGGCTCCCTGCCTTTCAACCTATTTTCACGATTCTTTGTTCCCACTCCAGTTGTCATGCACTATCATCAGTATCATGTGCAGGGTGTTTCACTGTTGTACCTTTGTTCTTGCCAAGACCCCAACCTCAAATTTTTTTCTGCATCCATTGTGCCAGTTTTAGTCAGATTCTTCTTCAAAGCTCATCTTAAGTCCCATCTTTGCCATAAGACTTTCCTTTAGTCACTAATATCTGTACCAGACATTTCAAAGTCAGCATATATACTCTTGTTAGTTTTCTCTTTTTTTTTTTTTTGTCACTCTCTAGATAAATTAGGGGTTCCTTAAGGGTAGAGATTATGATCCGACTACCTTTTAGTATTCCTGATGCCAATATAGGAACCTTGAGTGTGGTTGGTCTATAAAAACTGTTGTCATGATATTAGCAGTAAAAGTGAGGTTTGTGAATGCTACAGGTACTGAATGAAATATTGTTGGTCAGTACTAATGATACCTCTCTTAGTTTTGGGGTTTTTTTAAATTGTCATTTGTCATATTAGAAAGTAGCATTTATTTATTTATTTATTATTTATTTATTTATTTATTTATTTTAGAAAGTAGCTTTTAAAGTAGTCTTTACAAATTATATTTACAGTTTATCCTCGTATTCCTACTTCAATCAAAGTGAAGGACATTAATTCAACAGCTGTTATGCTTTCCTGGCATTTACCAGGCAACTTTGCAAAGATTAAACTTTTATGTCAAATTGAAATTAATAAAACTAACTCAGTACAAGAATTGGTGAGTAAGATTTTTCTATAAACCTCCTTTTGAATAAAATAGTTTTCAAAAAGTAAATTGATATGCATAAGGTCTCAGATGATTTATTATAGAGATTTACTAAGAACTGAGACACTATGTGTCAATGTAATAACATTATATTTAGCACTTGAAAGCAGTTGTAATACTGGATATTTTAGAACATGATTTTGACTTTTACTCATAATGTTTCCAGATCTAGTATAGTACCTGGAACATGGCTGGTGCTCAGTAAATTTGTAAGTGAATGAATGGTTTTTGCCATAACCTTCAGCATCATCAGTTCATGGACTGATAAGCACCAGAGAAGATGCGGTTTTTAAAACTGCCTAGTGCATAAAAGGAGCAAGTTCTAAGTCAGAATGTGATCATTCTTAAGTCAGAACATGACTTTCTAATACATTTTAGATACCTAGCTTGACTCTTGTACCATGCCACCTTGTGATTTGTGGTAAATCCAAAGTAAAAGATACTGTAATGAAAACATTCATTTGGAAACTTATTGATGATTGCTGGAAAATCAGTGAATTGCCAAAATATAACCAAAAAACTCCTTCGTAATTAGTAATTGGGAGCTCAGGATTTCTTGAGGCATGCAGTTCCTCAAATTTGTTTAAATTGCTTTATTTTAATTTAATTTAAATAAGAATTTGTTGAATATTCTACGTGTTTAGCGCCATACTAGAGGTTCTAAGTGCCCTATTAAAAAAATGCATAAGACGACGTCTATCTCAAAGAAGCTTCCAAATATAGCTGATGATGTATTTAATCCTCAAGGACACCTTAGATTACTAAAGTGTATTTAAGCCTTGTTGTATTACCATTAGCCATTGACCAGTGGTCAAGATTATATCATCCTCTCTGCATAATTTACTTAATCATTGTTACTTAGATCCAGTATTTAGATTAAAATGACACCTGGGTTTTGTTTATTGTTACTACAGAGCATAAATTCACTGATTTGGTATTTATGTAAAAATTAAAATATTTTTGGTGGATGAATTGTAAAGACAGTTTTATAAAGGCAAACTCATGTGGATATTTGGTCAATTTGTTATAAATTCGGGTGGCTTTCTTATCAAAAAAAGTATGTGTGTATATATATATATGTGGATTCTTACATGACATTACATATACATACATACAGATATTTATTTGCTTTCTAATAGCGGAATGTTACAATCAAAGGAGTAGAAAATTCAAGTTACCTTGTAGCCGTGGACAAGTTGAATCCATATACTATATATACTTTCCGGATTCGCTGTTCTACTGAAACTTTCTGGAAATGGAGCAAATGGAGCAATGAAAAAAAATATTTAACCACAGAAGCCAGTAAGTTAACTAAATGATTTATAAGCTGATTATTGCTATGGATCCTGAAATTTGACAGCTTATTTTTAAAGAAAATGTCAGCAAAGTGAGTAAAAGGAGGCAACTTGAATTGTGTAATTATGTAATAATATCTGATAGTATCATCTAGACATCTTAAATGGTGGCTCTAAGGTTTGTGATAATAAGTCAGCTGCTTAGCCTGTGTTGTGTGGAAAGACTGGGCCCTATCAGCAGTGTATTTGCAGCTGTCTTAAAATGATGCAGAGGAAACAAATTCAAAACTGTGGTAAGATTATGGACAATTTTTCTGACACTTTCCTCCTTTCCTAGTGTTAAAACTCTGTTTAAATTGCCTCTTTACTGAAGACAATTATTAATGAAGAGAATTTGTTGGAATTTTTATTTATGACCAAGGCCTGAGAAATGGATGAGGCCAGAGGTCCTGAGCTTCATTTTCTATGGTACACAGAGGTTAAAATAGGTACAAAATTAGGTAACTGGTTTTCTGAATATGATAATTTCCAAAGATGGAATGAGATTCTATCCTTAATCATATGTCAGCTTTAAAAATCAAAAACAAAAAACTTAGAAATAGGTATAAATTTTAGGAGTCATTCAGCCAAAGATAGCAAAAGCTTTATTTGTATTAGATAATATAGGGAATACAAAACTTCTAGAGGTGGTTAGGCATCTGTGCTTGTTTTCAGCTCAGGTTGTGATCTTGAGGTTGTGGGATCAAGCCCCATGTCAGGCTCCACGGTCAGCAGGAAATCTGCTTAAGGATTCCCTCCCTCTCTCCCTCTCCTGTTGTCCCTCCCCCAGCTGAAGTGTGCACTCTCTCCCTCTATCTCTAATAAAGAAGTCTTTTAAAAAATTCTTCCAAAAGATTTATGAACAATAAAACAAAAAATGATAGATGTTAATCCAGATTTTTGCCTCTCCACATCCATCTTCAAGAGATGACAGGAGCTTTGTGATAATATGTAAAAAAAAAAAAAAAAAACAGAAAGGGGGAGTATATTAGTTATCCATTGCTACCTGACAAATTACCCTAAAATTCAGTGGCCTAAAACAGTAAACATTTATTATCTCACAGTGGGTATGGGTTAGAAATTGAGAAGCAGCTTAGCTGAGTAGCTCTGGCTTACAGTCTCTCATGAGGCCACAGTGTGGACATGGATGGGGACTACAGGCTTGCCCAGGGCTAGAGAATCTGTTTTCAAGATAGCTCACAGTAACTGTTCCTCACCACGCAGTCCTCTCCATAGTGCTGCAGGGTGGCCTCATAACATGGCAGCTAGCTCCTCCCAGACTTACTGAGGAGAGAGAGAACATGGCAGCCTCCACAATGTCTTTTATGACCTAGCTTCAGAAGAGAGATACCATCACCTGTGTCATACCCTATTGGTCACACAGGCCAATGCTGATATGGAGTGGGAGGGAGCCACACACAGGCAGGCATACCAGGAGGTGTGACCAATATCATCGGTCATTTGGAGACTAGCTACCGCAGAAGCTTTTGCCTTCAGTTGAGGAGCTGTTGTTGCCAAGAGAAAGCATTTTATTTATACCTCATTAAGACGATAGCATTAATTCACTTAACAAATACTTACTGAGGGGTGCTTGGGTGGCTCAGTCAGTTGAGTGACCAACTCTTGGTTTCATCTCAGGTCATGATCTCATGAGTCATGGGATTGAGCCCCACAGCAGGTTCCCCGCTCAGCGGAGGGGTCTGCTTGAAGAATCTCTCCCTTTCCCACTCCACTACACCATTTGTGTGCGTGCGCTCTCTCTCTCGCTCGCTCTCTCAAATAAATCTCAAAAACAAGTACTTGAGTACCCACCGTGTGTCAGGAACTGTAGTAATCACCTGGGATATAGCACTGAATAAAATAGTCTCTGCTCATGGAGTTTATAGGATAGAGGTTTAGAAATAAATGTTTAAAAGTAGTATGTTGGATAGTGCCATGGAGAAAGAAAGCCTAGAAGGAGAACTAGGGAAAGAAGGTGACAGGGGAGGAGGGATTGCAATTTTAAATAGGGTAGCTAGAAAAGACCTCACTAGTAAGGCACCATTGGAGCTGAGATCTGGAGAAGGTGAGGTACCTGCATGGGTAATCCAGGGGAGGAGAGTTTCTGCAGACAGGGAGAGGTCTCAGAAAGCACAGGACGCCTGAGGCAGGTGTTCTCAGCATGTTGGAGGAGTGCCAGGGCGCCTTTATTTGGCCAGAGCCCACTTAAGCAAGCGGAGGTAGGAGGATGTGAAATGGGGCAGTACCAGAGTATCCCTTAGAGCCTGAAGGGTGATTTTTAATCCATTCTAAAGGGCCTTATGTTTTCCAGACATTGAGACCTCAGTTTTTTCATTGTTTCGTTTCTAAGTGGAAGCCACTGAACTGCCTCATATTTTTATGGAGAATTCCAAAAACCTAGAAAAAAAGTCTTAAGCACCACTATGTCAATTATTGATATTATCAACTGACATACAATACACATCTTCAAATGCTAACTTTTAAATCTCTTTCCTAGTTCCTTCAAAGGGACCAGATACTTGGAGAGAGTGGAGTTCTGATGGGAAAAATTTAATCATCTATTGGAAGGTAAATATCTGCTTTTTCCCTAAATATTTAAATAACAGTATTGTGCTAAACTATTTAATTTATATATAGTACTTGGCTTATCAAGGAGCCCCTGTTTCCCAGACTGGCTCTTCGAAGTACTGCTGAGAATCTAATTTGGCTCCTACAACCCCCCAGACTCATTACTCCTGATTCACCATAGTCAGTTTGCTAGGAATCTTCTTTGTCAGATCTGAGCATTCTTTAGTTTGATTTCATGAGACCAGTAAAGGACCTGAGGATTTCATGAATTCCATCTCTCTCACTTTAATCAGAAGCTACAAGTTAGAATCTCAGTAGTGTTGATGTTACATTTTTTTTCTTCAGTGAATAAGAAACATTTTACGTATCTCATAATGTAATTTGTTTTCCCTAATGACATTATTATATGCCACTTAAAAAGGTTTGCATGGTTTTGTAAAATCTTTAGATATAATATAAATTGCATTATGTTTTCACTAGTTCTCTTACTAGAACATTCTTGTTTCTGTATTCTTTATCTGATTTGCAGGGATCAAAAACAGTTGTTTTCTACATCAGATTTATAAGAGCAATCATAATTGGATTTTTTTAAATAGTGAATTCAGTTATTACAAAGCAAAACATTATTTTTACAAAAATTTGACATCAGTACAGCTTTGAGTAAAGTCTCTGTGCAAGTTCATTGTTAAGTTCTCTTGCTTTGTGATGGTCTGTGTATGACTGTGTACCCCTCTTAATCTTGATTAGAAAATCCGCTGGCTACTCACAGTTGTCTGTCAGATTTCATGATAGTGTAGTGACAATATTGCAGCCACTTCAGTGTATCACTTGTCAGCCTTGTGGCTAAGATCAAGCGTAGTATCTGTTCTTAACAATTTAATACCTGATACATCCTCTATCCAGAGACAATATATTACATGGATTTTTGGAATTAGGACATAGGATAAGAGCTTATTCTCTCCACTCCACCTGTCAACCGGGTGTTGCAGTACCATTACTTAATTGTAGAGAAAGTTTGGGATGTTGTTCAAACTAGATGAATGCCTAACCAAAGATTAAAAACACCGAAGTGACGAGGTTGGTGGTTCTGCCATTTGCCAAGGAGGAGCATATTTGGGTGGAAAATGAAGTTGTTTAGGGTTGAATTGTTTTCAGCGTATTTTAAAAATATGTGCCACTGGGATATCCAAATAGAGTCTAATAGGTTTGATGTAAGGCTCTGGAGTTCAGGGGAAAAGTCAGAGTTAAAGACATAGCTTTGAGTAGCATATAAATGGGATCACTCGGGGAGAGCATGCAGGGTGGAAAGAGGCCAAGAATGGACTCGTAGGTGATAGCAGCATATAAAGGACTAGCAAAGGAGGAAGATCCAGTAGATGAGAGTGGGAAGGTTAGAGGGACAGGAAGACCAGAAGAGATTGGTAAAGCAGAAGCCAAGAGAGGGGGCTCCATGAAGGAGTGAGGTGTCAGCAGCATCAAATGAAGCCCTCAAACCGTAAGATGATAATGGGTCCAATGGAACAGGCCATCAGAGAGTCACTGGGGACCTGTGATGGAGCAGTGTGTTTTCAGCAGAGTATTAATATCAAGGTCAGTCAGGATCAGAGGGTCCCATGCCTTGTCGTATAAATTGGAACAATAGTCTTAAAAGGCAGTTTAGCTTCACAAATGAAAAAGTTTGAATGTTTCCTAATACCCAGTAATTTCCATTTGGAAATCCACATGAAAGGATTAATCCTAACTATGAAAAAGGAAAAAAAAATGGCAGTAAAAGATACACCAAAATATTATTTTAGCATTGTGAGAAATTGGAAACAACTTAAATTTCATTATTTAAGGAATATTCAAGTAAAAACTAGTAAAAATACTACTTAAAATATAAAGCCATTAAAATATATGTATCAGGGACAAGTATATTATAGAAAAGTGAAAAAAGGTAAAATGGTATATAGTATGATTCAAATAATGTTAACAAAAAACATCTACATCTTAGAAAACCAACTTGAAAAAAATATCAAAATGAAAGCGTATTTAAGAGACAAGAACATGGGAGCATTTTACAGGGTTTTTTTTTAACTTGTATATAATTTCCAAACTTTCTGGTAATGGGCATGGACTATTTCGAGAAAAGAATAAATATTTTTTAAAAACTGTGACGCCGTAATTTTTTAAAGATTTATTTAAGTAATTTCTACACTACTAGCATGGGGCTCACACTCATGACTCTGACATGAAGAGTCACATGTTCCACTCACTGAGCCAGCCCCCCTCCCCACCCATTCTGTAATTTTCTATGTTTTGTTTGGTAGGGCAGTGATTCTTGTTACTTTTTTGTTTGCTTCTGAAAAATGTGAGGCTGAATACTAGTTCGTAGTTACTTAATTTTTAAATTTCTGTGTGATCTTACTGCTTACGGTAAGTACAGTTTTTCTTTTGTATCACGCTTCTGATTTATCCTGGTCTTCGTGCATTTTATTTTTTTATTTTTTATTTTTTTTCTTGGTGCCTTTTAAATCTGTGTTTTACACCGTTAACAACTCCCATCTATTCTGACATTACCTTGTCATGATTAACGTAGTGCCTGGTTTAGACTTCATGGTCTTTGCTCATCACATAGCCAGTTTTGCAGGTTTCTTGACAGAATTTATTTTTCTGTTTTTCATAGCCTTTACCCATTAATGAAGCTAATGGGAAAATACTTTCCTATAATGTATCATGTTCACTAGATGAGGAGACACAGTCCCTTTCTGAGATCCCTGATCCTCAACACAAGGCGGAACTTCAACTTGATAAAAATGACTACATCATCAGTGTGGTGGCAAAAAATTCTGTTGGCTCATCGCCACCTTCTAAAATAGCTAGTATGGAAATTCCAAATGGTGAGTACTTAAAATAATGTAGGATATAAGAACAGGAAATTAAAGTGAAACATTTTGTAAATAAGGTTATCACTTGCTCTTATAATGTCAGCTTTCTTCTCCTACCTTCTGCTGCTGCTGATACATACAGAGGAACAAGCAGATTAATGTCCAGAATTCATTGAGAGACAGCAGTCATTAGTCATTAGGGTTGACTCCAAACATCTGCACTGATGGATAAAATAATTAGTGTATCCAATTATGTTAGTGTGTAATGTTGGAGAGCTACATGGTGGACGTTACTCTTAGTAAGAAATGTTTCAACCATTTATTTAAGTACCGTTTTCATATATCTTCCAAGACCATGGGAGCTGATGCTGTAACAGCCGGGCTGTTTTACAAACTGCCAGGGAGGAAAAAGTACTTTTTTGAATGGCAGCTTTGTTGGTAAGACATTCCTTATTAATAGGAATCCTTTATTGATAAGTTATTCCTAAAGTCTAAGTTAGATCTTTAATACAAGTTTCAAAAGAGTCACTGTGGTGAAATTTTAAAATTAACTTAGTGCCTTCCTTTAAATATTAGGGATTACCAGTAATCCCAAATACTTCATCCATAGCCACTTCTCTCTCTTTACTCAGTTAATTCCTCTTCCAGCTCATTTCCTGTTCCCCCACCTTGCTGTCCCGCCCCAATATGGGGCTCCTGTCTATGACCACACACTCCTAAAGGAAGAAAAGTTGGTCCAGTTAGGGTCCTCCAAGTATTTTTTCAACTCCCAGTGGAGGCAGCTTCTTACTTAGCTGGTTCTTTGTTTTAGTTTCTGTCAACTGTCAGGGACTTGGGGTGGGGGTGGGGGCACCTTACATTTTAGAGACACGGAGCACAGAGCACAGAACAGCAGCACACACAGAGAGGAGGGGTCTTCAGGCAGAGGTGTGACAGCAGAAAGAAAAGGAAAGAGAGAGAAGAGCGGTGTGAACACCCTTAAGAAGGATACCTTCTGATTTAGATTCTGTATTTCATTGCTTCATACTGATAGGCAATAGCCGTGTTGTCTTTTAATTCAAGAACCGTATTCCTTGTGTCCTTCAGAAGGTAGTGATTTAGGGAACTAATAATGGCCTAGCATCAGCTCCTAGACAGCTACGGAAGCCACAGAATCATTGTTCCTTGACGATTTCCTGAGACGGAGGCCCTGGGCCTCAGCAGGTTTATGGTGTGGAGTTTTAATCACATTGAGCCTGAACGCTCTCGTGTCCAGTGTCCTCTGAATTCTAAGCCAAATTGTTGTCTTGTGTTAGGTAGTAGTTGCTTTATGAATACAATTTTTTTCTCCAAAAACCATTCTGTAGCTTTTTACTGAACCCTTGAATAGAAATCGGTTATAGAAATAACTTCTTTTCTCCTGTTACTGTGAGAAATTCCCTCTCCCTCTGGGCCTGACCTACACAGTCCTACCCCCAGCCTTGGGCCCCCCTCATCCCGAGACCGAGATCTGACAAGAATGGGGAAAACAGAACCTGGGCACAGCCCCGTTCCCACCAACCTCTTACACCTCACCCCTCTGCCCTGTGTTGGGTTTTTCCCTCCCTGTGCCCCCACTGGCCATTCTGCCGCACAGCTTCAGATCGCACTGCATTTCAGCAGATTCCCCATTCCTCACCTCATCTCCAGAAGCCTCTTCAGCCCACCCATAGGCTCGAAAGGAAGACAAGAGCTGATCCATCCCCCTATTCACCACATGTTCCATGTTCCTACTCTGTAGGTCCTGGCCCAGGGCTGGGGTTGCAGGCATAAGCCCCCATCTGCTCTCACAGAGCTCACATCATAGTGGACAAGGAGAGGAGGTCTGGACTGTCCACTTGAGCTCTGCACCTGCCTGTGGGCCGCCTGCCCCTGCACTGCTACCCTCTCTCGTGCCCACATGCCCTCAGCCCCATCCCTCATGGCCCTGACCTTCACAGCCCGGCCTGCAGCATATTACCACCTAACCTACGTGCTCTTTTATTACTGTTTAGAGCTTCTGAGTTTTTCTGTACGTACAGGTAATTACTTTTTTACAACCAAAATAACAGCAACACTTCTAAACTTTGCTAGAGGCTTATCTAGTTTGAGCATGATTTTAAAATTTCTGTCCAATGACATTTTTCTAACTCCTGTCCATTTTTAGGAGATTTATCTTATATTATTGTTTTTAATACAAGTAAAATGTACTTCTTTCTCTTTTTTTTTTTTTTGATTTTTATTTATTTATGATAGTGACACACACAGAGAGAGAGAGGCAGAGACATAGGCAGAGGGAGAAGCAGGCTCCATGTACCGGGAGCCCGACGTGGGATTCGATCCCGGGTTTCCAGGATCGCATCCTGGGCCAAAGGCAGGCACTAAACTGCTGTGCCACCCAGGGATCCCAATGTACTTCTTTCTTGTTGTAGATGATCTCAAAGTAGAGCAGGCTGTCGGAATGGGAAATGGGATTCTCCTCACTTGGAATTACGATCCCAATATGACCTGTGACTATGTTATTAAATGGTGTAACTCATCTCGATCTGAACCCTGCCTTATGGACTGGAAAAAAGTCCCCTCAAACAGCACTGAAGCTGTAATAGAATCTGGTAAGATGAACTCATACCTCTTGGTGAAAGTTAAAAACATTTGTTTTTAAGATTTTTTATTAGAGTGAATCAGAGAGAGTGAGTGTACACATGTGCGTGCGAGCATGAGAGGGGGCAGGAGTAGAGGGAGAGGGAGAAGCAGACTTCCTGCTGGACAGGGAGCCTGATGGAGGGCTGGATCTGGGACCCCAGCCAGGATCATGACTGGAGCTGAAGGCAGACGCCCAACTGACTGAGCCATCCAGGTGCCCCTGTTAAAAAATATTTTTAAAAGAGCAATATATGGTGTAACTGGGTATGAGTGATCACTTCCCCCTTATCACTAGGGCGGGTGTGAATTGGTGACCTTTCTGGAAGGTGCTTTGTAGCAGTATGTGTGTGAAAGGGTTCAAATCTTTTGGTCTAGTAGTTGCTTATCTAGGAATTTATCCTAAGAAATAATCAGCAACACAGGATTGCATCTAAGAACGTTTACCATAGTGTGATTTATAATCACAAAAATTGAAAACCCCCATAGCAAATAGGAGAATGAGTAAATTACAGTGTATCTGTACAGTGGAATGTCAAGTAGCTCTGCAGATTTGGGTCACAGGTACAACAATGTGGAGGAATGCTCCTGAAGAAAGCCGACCACAGAGCCCTAGGCAGTGTGGTCTCACCCCTGGTCCTTTGCCTTTGCCGGCCGGAGCGCAGGTTCAATGGGGCTAGGCAGAGCCGAGGACAGACGCCTTGCCCCCATCACCACTGATGCAGGACAGGGGCCATCCATGGGGCAGGGGGCACCTCCCAGTGCCTGGCTATAAGGAGCCAGGAGTCCCCTAAGGCGAGCTGCTTTGGGTAGGAGCAGCCTGCAGTTCAGCCCTGAAGAGTATGTAGTAACCCGCAGGCTAAGCCAGCCTTGTCCTGGGATATTACAGCCCTCTTTCGACCATCGACCATCGTTGTTCCTTCTGAGTAGCTGATGAGTGTTTTGTGCCTCTACCCTTGGGAATTCTGGAGCCTGCAGCCTTGGTGATGCTTCTCAAGGTCATCCCACGGTCATGGTTCTCCCTCACGTGGAGGTGAAGCTCAGGAGAGCAAGCAACTGCTAATACTTCTCTCCTAGGAACTGGTGCTACCACTTGCTTTGTACCATCAGATGGGAAAGATGAGTCCCACCCACTAGATTACTCCCAAGTTGGTTTAGATTATTTGCCAGTCCTACTTGAAATACTTGGTGGTTCCCTTTATCATTTCCTAGAACCCACCTCCCTTATCAGAGTGCCCGCACACCCTACCCTCCTCTCCTGCACCTCCACTTGTAGCTGCCTGAGCCTTAGGCTGTCCTAGCGTGTGCCATATGAATTCTCCTCTCTCTTCCACCTTTCTCACCTGGGCTTTGAGAATAATCAGGGTGACCCGGAGGCAGGCTTGGTGGTGTGAAGAGGGGTCTCCTTAGATAGAGTGTCTTGGGGACATAAATTTTAAGCTAAGACCTATACGGTGAGAGGGAGAACCTCTCATGCCAAGACAGATGAGCAAAGGCCCCACACTTGAAAAAAACAAAGGTTCAGAGAAGTCAGATGATTTGCCCAAGGTCACAGAACTAGTGTGTGATAGCACCAGAATTCAGATTCAAAGCAGTTCAGAGCCTCAGGAGGCCAGTCATTGTCTTTTATGTACTGCCTCTGGGACAGTGTATGGCCACAGGAGGCACTTCTCTCATTCCTTTCTCAACCTAGTCATCGATTCATTCAATTGTCCTATTTTATAATCTCAAAACATGGAACTAATGCCATAATTCCCACTTGGGCTCTTTTTTTATTAAGGCAGCAGAACTCTATAGAATACTGATCTACATCATTGTAACATAACCCTGGGTACAGATTTACCAACATACAGGCAGATTAAAATAACCTCAGGCACTCCTGACCCCCAAAGAAAAAAGTTTCATAATGATTTTAGAGGTTGGCCATCTCACTTTTGGGCTTGTAGAACCGCTGGTGTTCTGTGGGCACAGAATTGGAGAACTCGTGCTCTGACCACACCAGAATAGTTGCTTTCCACAAATTAGATACAATCCCACAGACTGCCCTAGCTCCCCCAAGCGGGATCTTTTTCCTAGACCACCACTGGTGAGCTCCTCATTGCCTTTTAAGGCCCTCTTCAAATGTCGCTTCTTGGTGGCTTTTTGTGATATTCTTAGACCCATTTGGTCCCACAGTAAAGGTGCCCCAGCCTAGGATAGGTCCCTCCAGTCTAGCACACTGTGTCTTGGTTACCCTGGTTCATCTGTCTCCCCACCACTCTGCCAGCCTTTCTAGGCCGTGGACCACACTATGTCCACCTCTGTGTTCCCAACATCTCACACTTTGCATTGTATCAAGGATGTACCAAAGGGGCTCTTTGAAGTAAAGTTAAGATGCTTCTCTTGTGTGCCTTGTGAAGTTAACTCAAGGGCACGAAAAAGCAATGCTATAAAGAGAAACAGATGCTATGACTCAGCATACCTTGAAGCAGCAAGGTAGAGTGGAAATGTTAGTTTTTTTTGCTTTTTTGGAGCAAAGTAGGAGATTACACTGGCTAGGGAAGGAAGGGCTTTCCAGACAGAGGCTTGGTGCGGACCTGGGATTACCTAGTAAACTGATCCTGGCCCAAATCTGGGAAGTCATCGTTGCTTGATTTTAAGAAACAAGATGAAAACCTTGATCACTGTTCCTCCCTTCAAGGTCATATCATGTTATAATACAATGCATTACACAGAAGTGAGTTTGTGTAATTTTTCTTTAGTCATTTTTCATTCTGAATATCAGTTTTGAATATCAGTATTTTTTATGGTAAGAAAACATCTGTTTAAAATTAGCTTTGTAAATTTCAGAGTAAGTGATTGTAAGTTTGATGTTTATAAAATAGATGCTCATAGTAATGTGTACTTATGAAAGTTAATTGTGTTTATCCTGTAGATCAGTTTCGACCAGGTGTAAGATACAGTTTTTTCCTGTATGGGTGCAGGAATGAAGGATATCAGTTATTACGTTCTATAATCGGATATATAGAAGAACTGGGTAAGTTAATGGGGAAGTCTTAGAGTCCAGGGTAATGTGAGAAATTAGAAATTGAACAATTGCAAGATTGAATTTTTTTTTTAAGATTGTATTTATTCATGAGAGACACAGAGAGAGAAAGGCAGACATAGGTAGAGGGAGAAGCAGGCTCCATGCAGGGAGCCCGATGTGGGACTGGGTCCTGGGACTCCAGGATCACGCCCTGAGCTGAAGGCAGATGCTTAACCGCTGAGCCACCCAGGTGTCCCATCAAGATTGAATTCTAAAAATAGATTAAGGTGTTTAGTTCAAGGAAGGAAAAATAATTTGTATGATAAATTTAAAATTGTGATTGCCTAATCTTCGTATCTTTAATATTTCACAGTTTTACTCTTGTGATTGAGAAAATTAAATCTTAATTTTGATGTCAAAAGACTTATTTGCACTTAAACACGTTTAAAAAAAAACATTAATTTCAAGACTGTATACAGTGTGTTTATGTTGTAAGTTCCCCGTGTGCGTCTAGTCATTTGCATGCAAGGTTCACTGGAGCAATGCCTGTGATAGCTCTCTGAAAGTGTGACTTAATAGAGAATAAAGTCTTAATTTTAGATTTAATTATTTTTGAAGATAGAAATCTCATTAAATATTAATGTCTTACTCTGTATCAGTGAACTCTCCTTTAGCTATGGACGTTTTTCCTATTACAGCTCCAATTGTGGCGCCAAATTTTACTGTTGAGGATACATCTGCAGATTCAATATTAGTAAAATGGGAAGATATTCCTGTGGAAGAGCTCAGAGGCTTTTTAAGAGGATATTTATTTTACTTTGAAAAAGGAGAGAGAGACACCTCTAAGATAAGGGGTTTGGAGTCAGGTAAGTAACTTACTACAGTGAGAATAGTATTTCCTAGAAGTTCTCATTAACCATTAAAAAAAAAAAAAACAAGGAAAAAATCTGTTAGTGAATAATATAATACTGGTTTCCAAAACTGAAAAATTGGTAAATGAATATATATGAATGTGAGAATTTTAGGATTTTACTATGTGATAAATGGCATGTACAGTCTTTCATTTAAATTATTTATTCTGCAGACTTTGATTATAATCCCCATAGGAAAGAGACCATCTCTTAGTAATTTTGAATGATGTATAACATAGCATCTTATATAGGTTATTAAAAAAAAAAAGGCTTCCTGTAATTCTAATAATGGAGGAGACAAGCTCAGGAACCCAAAAATGGCTCCAGAGCCTCCACTGTTAACTGAAAAAGAGCCGTCCACACAGTTAGGGCCTTAATGAGCTGGCAAGCTTAATTGACTTGACTAGGGACATGTGTATCCATTAGATCTTTAAAAGTACAGTCAATCCTTGACAGTTGGTAAGTGTATAAGTCCAAAGACCTTAGAGAATTTTCAGATTTACAAATACAGAAATGTTTATAGAGTTTTGGCTTCTCCCTAAATTATATTTCTGTTGGGAGTCAGATGTTTCCTATTCATAGCCACATAACACAAGCATGCCATCTTTTCAGTTTAAGAGCTTACATTTCCCTTAATGACCTCTCCTCAGAAAAAAGCATTTTAATTATTTAATGCCTGTCCAACAAGTCAAGAACAACAGTGCTGCATGGAGATGCCGAGCAGGCATTAGCTAAGTTACTTCTCAGAGCAGCTGCATTAAATGTGCACCTCCCCCACACCACTAAGGTCTGCTTTCCTGAACCTTCACAATTGCCTGTGAGAAAAACCCTAAGTATAAAGTTCTACAAATATCCAGAGTCTAGTGAAATTTTTTTTAAATGTTCAGAAATTTTACACTTGTACCAGTTAAAATTGAGCACTTAGACTTCCATTTAGACGTGATAAATCAGTCACTAAAGTTAAAGAAGGCGGGGGGGAGCATGACGCCACAAAAAGAGAACCAGACAGGCAAGAGTATACCAGATTTGGACATTTTGGGGCTGATGGGAGTGGGACAGATGACCTGGAGGATGAAGGATGGTGAAATCCAGGTAGATGTTCAGGCTTCAGGGAGAAGTAATCTGACTCATCCTTAGGCGAGGTTTGGGGGCAGATGTTAGGATGGACATGGGCTGAACATTGAGAGCTGCCTCTAAGTGTTTAAGGAGTGATTAGAACTCCCATGGGGGTCCTATGCCAACTTCATGCAGCTAGCGTCAATGCGCTCTCCCCTGCCTGAAGACGAGAGGATCGTTCTTTGGAGAAGTTGAACCAGACAGCCTCCAGCGAGAGGGACACCAGAGTGAACGTGACTTTCCCTGAGCCTCCTTTGTCTTATAAGGGGCAAATAGGACATCTTCAGCTGGCCCTGTTTCCTTCATGAGATTAGAGGATCTTTCTTTAGAAAAAGGCAATGGTTCCTGAGGCAAGACACAAAAAAGTGCTGGTATTGGGGCCCCAGTGAGCAGGAAAGCCCACCAACCAGAAAGCTCTACCCATTCACAGTGACCTTCCCGTGGTTCACTTCTAGCCATGACTTAGCAGCCGGGATAACCAGCTGGTTGAGGAAGATTCTAACAGGAGGACAGAAACCAGAAGAAATTAGAGAAAACAGATTCAGTGTAAGGAAACAAATTTCAAACCAAACTATCCTCGCATAGTTGAGTTACACTGTATTTATGGAAAAGACCTGATGTTATAAAAAAGAACAGTCAAAAGATAGGTAAGAACTCATTAGAATTAGAAATGTGATCAAAGAAAAGTCTAAAGAATTAAATAGAAGATGGAGAGGGGATCCCTGGGTGGCGCAGCAGTTTGGCGCCTGCTTTTGGCCCAGGGCACGATCCTGGAGACCCGGGATCGAGTTCCGCATCGGGCTCCCTGCATGGAGCCTGCTTCTCCCTCTGCCTGTGTCTCTGCCTCTCTCTCTCTCTCTCTCTCTTTCTCTCTCTGTGACTATCATAAATAAATAAAAATTTTTTAAAAAGTCTTAAAAAAATAAATAAACAGAAGATGGAGAAATTGAATGAGAGATAGAGAAATTCTTTCTCCAGTTAGATGCAGAGGAGAAGACTTGGTAAAAAGATGAGGAAGTTGAACATCAGAGACTTGAGCCGTCATGCTTTATAGGAGTTTCGTGGTGGGGGTGGGAGGATAGAAGAAAATAACCAAAGAAAGAGCTTAAGAACATTTCCCAGAACTAGAAGACCAGGATACACAGAGGAAAGCACCCATCAACTACACAATGAGATAAATAGAAGAAAAATCTACACTGAGGTAGATTGTCATGAATTTCTCAGCACCTGATACATAAAGAACAAGTCCTACAGACAGAAAAGTCACTCAGGTGCGAGGCCTCGGGCATGAAAGTGGCCTCGGACTTCTCAACAGCACAGCAGAGACCAGAAGTAGCACAGCTGTGTCTTCAAGGTACTGAGTGAAAATTCTTTTCTCCCTAGAAGTCTGTACTCGTTGGTGGCAGCCAGTGTGAGAGCAGAATGAGAGTATTTTCAGATTTCAGGCCCGTAGAGCTACAGATACTTCCTTCCCCATGTCCCCTTCTCAGGTGGTGGTTCAGAACGGTGGTTCAGCCTGAGGAAACAAGGAGGGCAAGGGCGGTCCAGGAGGGCGGGAGCCAGGGAGGCCTTGGTCTGGAGCAGATACCCTGGGGAGGACGCCCCTGGGAGACGTGGGCAGGGGTTGGGTGGCCAGTCACAGCACTGGGCACTTGGATTTTTTGCATTGGGCCATGTAGAAAATTGCACTGAATGTTCACAGAAATTTGTGGGAGGAATTAGGAATTGGTACATTAAGCAAATGAGGAAAAAGCATAATTAAAACAACAGAAAGATAAGGAAGTATGAGCAGACTAAGCAATTTGTCTAGCAGGAATCCATATTTATGTGATCATAGTAACATAAACACTGAATTTCCCAAACGTTTTAGTGTGTCTGTGTGAATGATGTGGGATGGGAGGGCGAGGGGGTCTGAAAACACTAAAGCTTCACCTTCTTTGTAGAACATGCATACATAATGTCTAAAATTTTTAAATCAAAGTACTGCCAGTGTAAGTTTATTCCAGAATACCTAAGTAAATACCCAAAGAAACCGATAACGTGATGTTGCGGTGACTGTAGGTGGCAGGGGAAGGTGCCGGCACGGAACTGCTACTTTTTTGTTCTTGGCCATTTAGTTCATTTTTTCAAACTGTTGTCTTCCATTATTTTGATTAAAACTATAAAACAACGGTTTAAGCAATTCTCATACTTCTGTGGAAATGATTCAAAGGCTTCCTCGCTAGCGGTTCGTTTGAGAACTCCAGAGCACTGCCTCTCTTCCTAGTGGTTTGGAGAGAGCACTGTAATGAGGTGTGCTCTTCTCTCTGGATGCAGGCAGGCACAGCAACCCCCTCCCCAGGGGGTTGTGGTGCGTTTCATGCCCTTAGGTAAAGAAGAGACTTGTATTGATTATCTGCTATATGCCAGGATTATTCTAGAGAATATATGAAAACTTCACACCACTCTGGCAGGTAAGTCGTGATCATCTGTTTCGTAAGTTAGAGAAACTCAAGTTCACAGTAGTTTAAATAACAGGTCCAGCCCATGTGGCTGCTAAGTGGCAGAGGTAGAACTTGAACCTGGGTCTGGCTGACCCCGCAGGTCCTGGCCCTGACGCTGAGGGCGGCCAGCAGTGACTCACATGAAAGGGATATGGGTAGAACAGGCTTGAGTAACTAGGTGTTTAAAGCGGCGTAGAGGTCAGTAATGATGGTCTTCACTTTACAAATAGGTCGGTCCGACATAAAGGTGAAGAACATTACTGACCTATCACAGAAGACCCTGAGAATTGCTGATCTTCAGGGTAAAACAAGTTACCATCTGGTCTTACGAGCCTATACAGACGGCGGGATGGGCCCGGAGAAGAGCATGTTTGTGGTGACAAAGGAGAATTGTAAGTTAATCACTGCCTATTGAGGTGCTTTCTGTACTTAAATGCATAGTGTTTCCAGCAAGTTTTGTTTATGTAGGAACCCTTTTTTAAAGATTTCATGTATTGTGCATATTTATAGTGAGTGTCAAGCAATGTTAAAAGGCCACAGGATGACTTCATATTTATTCTTGTCAGTTATTTGAAGCTATTTCCTAAGACTACTTAAATTAATGCATGAAGGATACATCCTAAGTCTTGGAGTTCTAAATTCATGTTGAATCTATATAAAGCTGACCCACTTAAACATTTTTTTAAAACATTTTATTTATGTGAGAGAGTACATGCTCAAGCAAGGGGAGAGGGAGAGAGAATCTCCAGCAGACTCCTCACTGATCTGGGAGCCCAAAGTGGGGTCCGCTCTCACAACCCCGACACCATGACCTGAGCCAAAACCAAGAATCAGATGTTCAACCCACTGAGCCACCCAGAAACCCTCCATTTTAGCATTTTTTTGCCATGACTGTTCTAAATGTGATTTTTAACCTATCCAGGGAAGAGTGAAAGAAATATCCTTTAAAAACCTGTGAACCCCAGCATTCACAAATTTGAGATGGAGAACGGGGAAGACGGGCTTGACTGTCCCCAGTGAGGAGCCTGGGTCGGATGGCGGCATAGTCTGTAGCCCCGAGAAGACTTCACACACACACTTCAATGAAGCACCGTGAGGGTGCGGTGTCAGCTGGGGCAATTTTGCCTCCTAGGGGACACATGGCAATGTCCGGTGACAGTTTTGGATCTCAGAACTGTGGGTGTTCCTGAGATCTAGTGGGTAGAAGCTCAGGGATGTGGCTAAACTTCCTGTAGTACATCTGACAGCCCCACACACCGGGGAGAAGAACCTGGCCTCGTGTGTTAGTAGCGCTCTGTCCTGTTCTAAGGAATTTAAGTATTAGTGTAAAAATTATTAAAATGCTTTTGAAGGTCACATTTTAATAGTTTTTCAGTGTCCTTGGAGCAGTTAGGACTTCTTTTCTTTAAATAATCTACCAACTTAAGTATCTTCTAATACAAATGTATTCTGTATGTCCTGCTTAAAATAGCGATTTGAATATATCCAATATTCTCTTTTCAGCTGTGGGATTAATTATTGCCATTCTCATTCCTGTGGCCGTGGCTGTCATTGTGGGAGTGGTAACAAGTATCCTTTGCTATCGAAAACGAGAATGGTAATGGTACCTACATCCATTTACCCTTGCTGTTGTGTTCTTAAGAGCATGATTATTTTATGTGTTAAGAAATAAGTACTTGGTAAAAAATGTTGGTTTAGTCTGAATTACTAGATTTATATTAATATTGGATTTAATATTAAGCAAGAATCGTTTAAATGTTTTTAAAGTAATAAGAGGTAAACTTTTTCCTACTGTGTTTACTGATAATTTAAAGTAATAGCAGATATACTAAAATTACCTACAGGCATAAATACGGCAATAGCTATATGCAAGGTTACTGATTAGGATTACACTTGTCCTGGTGACCTATTGAGAAAATACTGTCATTTATTCGTTTGTTCAACAAATATGAATGACTCTTCCCATGTGAAGAGTGATATAGTGGTGAACTAAATAAGCATGATCCTTACAGACTTAGAGCACCTTGGGGAAAGGTGGACATTAAACCTGTAATCATCTAGTAAATACAGGCTCATAAGTATATGTGTACTAGGAAGGTCACTGTGCACCACGAGGGGAATCACAGGGGAACTATGTCACTGGAGGTGGCTGACCACAGCTTCCCTATGAGAGTTCCATTAGAGCAGAGTCCCAAAGGGTAAAGAGAGGAGAAAGAGTGTTGAATAGCTCTTTCTCACAGAGAAAGAGATGAATAGCTCCTGAGGACCCAGAAATTGGAAAGAGCTTGGTCATCAGGAGGAAGCGGAAAGAACTGTGGTCTGAGTGAAGCTAGAGAGGCATGAGGTGAGAGGAGAGGAGAGGTGAGGTGAGCCGGGACTCAGTGGGAGAGAAGACCTCATGGCCAGCTGGCAGGAGTTGCCCTGGGCTGGGCAGATGGCTGTGTTCATGCCTAGATGGCCCTCACTGGCATTAAAAATGCCATCCTTTCTGGCAAAGAAGAGAATGTATTCTAGTAATCCTGGCTTATAAGTTAACATAGTATTAGTTAAGAATTATAGAACATGCTGTCTTGATGACCATATTCTCATTACCAAAAATCACATTTTAAAAATGATTTTAATACAGAAGATAAAATGAGAGAGTTTAGAAGCTAGGGCGTGTCAGACTTGTATTAACAAAGTTGGGTTTTTTCTGCAGGAATTTCAAATACTAAACTTCTTTTTAACAACTATACATATGATTTGGGACGGAGCAAATCTTTTTGTTTGCATCTCGTTTTTGCTCATCATTAGTAGCCTTTTCCCCTAATAGTCTGGAACCTGTTACGAGCAGTAGAGAACTGCATGATACAAATACACTCCCGAAGTACTGGGCCCTGTGTAGTAATCCATTTGCACTGTGGACATTTGCTTAGATGAACAGTACCTCTGTTTTACTTTTGACTTGAGAGCACAATCACCATTTTAATCCTTTGCTTTCCATTTTCATGAGATACGGAAGATATTGTGGTTCTAGAAATAGAGATACTGCTCATAGTTTTCAAGTAGGAGCCCCTCAGTGCATTATGTACAGAAAGCTCAGTGAATGATCACACTAAAAACTTTTAGATCTTGCATTTTTATCTCAGATGTTCATTAAAGCATCATATGAAATGTCAGAATAAGCCCAATGATTTTCTAATTTATTTGTTGTCTAATTGATAATCTTAATTATTAAATGTACTTAATCATCTTTATTTAAAGGATTAAAGAAACCTTCTACCCTGATATTCCAAATCCAGAAAATTGTAAAGCTTTACAGTTTCAAAAGAGTGTCTGTGAGGTAATCCTTTATTTTCTTACCTTTACCTTTTAGTACTGGCTTCATTTTTTTTTGTCTTTTGTGAAAGTTTTTAGCATGCAAATATCATCCAGTGTAAAATGTGTGAAGCAAAGAGCAATGCTTTAACATCTGCTGAACTTCTACAATTATGCATTTTAACTTGTTTTCACCATGCTCTTTTTTTCCACTGCTATTAATAGCAAAGAACATATTGATATGTAAAAAAGGAACTATGTTCTAGTATGCACTGCAGAATAGTAGAGACACATTTTTATAAGTAGCTGTGCGAAAAATATTGAAGATAATGCCCCTTTTGTAGGAAGGGCATTGTGGCGGCGGCTTTTAGCACTCTTCTTAATCATTGTTTTATCATTTATTTCTAGGGAAACAGTGCTCTCAAAACATTGGAAATGAATCCTTGTACCCCAAATAACGTTGAGGTTCTGGAGACTCGATCGGCAGTTCCGAAAATAGAAGACACAGAAATAATCTCTCCCATAGCTGAGCGTCCGGAAGAGAGCTCTGATGCCGAAGCCGAGAACCACGTGGTAGTGTCCTACTGCCCCCCTGTCATTGAGGAGGAAACGCCGAACCCCGGCGCGGATGAGGCCGGGGGAGCCTCTCAAGTCGTTTACATTGACATCCAGTCTATGTACCAGCCTCAAGCGAAACCAGAGGAAGAACAGGAAAATGACCCTGTCGGGGGGGCCGGCTACAAGCCACAAATGCACCTCCCCGTCACTTCTACTGTAGATGACCTCGCTGCAGAGGACGACCTAGATAAAGCTGCGGGTTACAGACCTCAGGCAAATGTCAACACTTGGAACTTAGTATCTCCAGACTCCCCCAGGTCCACAGACAGCAACAGTGAAATTGTCTCCTTTGGAAGCCCCTGCTCCATTAACTCCCGACAGTTTCTGATTCCTCCTAAAGATGAAGACTCTCCGAAATCCAGTGGGGGAGGGTGGTCCTTTACAAACTTCTTTCAGAACAAACCAAACGACTAACAGAGTCACCTTGTCACTTCAGTCTGCCATCTCAGTGAGCTCTGGGTTCTGGCGCTGCCGTGCCAGCAACGGGGCATCTTGGAGGGATCCTGTGAAGTATTGTTATTAGCGAGGGGGCCTCACCACGCGCAAGTCACACTCAAAGTGTTCATGTGCTTTTAACGTAGTCTCACAGCCAGAGCAGAGTAACCCAGAAATTCAGTCCCTGCAACTCAAGTTTTGGAGCGATCTGTGATGGGAGCCAAAGAATTCGCACGTGCTCTGCCTTCAGGAAGCACTTCGTGGCCGATACGTCTAGCCCATCCACGCAAACCAAATCCCCCAGCAACGTGTTCTGTTCTGCTCATGGTTTTCTCCTATGGGTACTGGATGGAATTGCAAGCCAATTTACAGGCACAGGAGAAAAATGTCAAAAAGCAACAGACGATGTTTATTTGCCTGACACTTGCTCCATGCTAGAGGAAAACCAAGCACAGATTTCAAAACTTTCAACATTATTCTCCTCTATCCGCGTCACTTACACAAAATTAATATAATTTTTAATGTAGTGACAGCTGTTGTAGTGTTTTGTTTGATAAAGTGTGCTGATTTCTGTGCCTACTGTATCATGGTTATCAAAGAGTTTTCTCAGGGGTACAAACTTTGAAAATGAGCGTGACACTGACCAGCCCAAATTAGAATCCTGTCGTCTTGCTTCAGGAGGTTTTACAAACCTTTTCCTTACTTTGTGGCTTGCATGCTAGTAGCTTCCCTTAGTGCGGTTGGTTGCCCTAAGATTTAAGGGCAAATTTTTAAAGACTGTAGACCTAGTTTTTTTTTTTGTTTTAAATCTGTTTTTTTGTGTGACACCGTGTCAGTTTTATAAGTGTAGGAGCAAACTTAATATTTCTGATAAACATAATTGCAGTGATTTACAATTTGAGGTGATTCCTGAGCAGACTCGCTGCATTAGCTCTTTGCACGTCCTGACCGGCTTCATCACCTCCCGAGAACCCCATGCCCTGGAACCCCAGTCACCCAGGCAGTGATGATCTTTGACTCCGTGTAGCAAAGTTTCCTCATCAGGCAGTTTGGCAATTTCTCCCTGTGAGATGATCATCAGTCTAGACTATTTGATCCAGTCCTCAAAATTTTAAATATGCAACTGAAAAGATCATGCTTCCTTACCAGAACAGTCCTCAAGGGCTGTTTCATAGGGCCCACCTCGGTGTCCGTTTGCTCCGCGGGCGCACCGTGGTGAGGGCGTAACAGCTGCTGTGCGAGCTGTCCACGACCGCGTGTCTTCGTAGCCTCCCCTGCCCACCCTTGCTTTTCATGAGTGATGCCTAGAGTGAATGTGGTTTTTGGAAAAGCAGAATGAAAAACTAAGAAGCGTTATCTTATATTTGCCCAACCCCCAGGTCGTCTATGTATTCTGTCTTTTGACAGGTAAGGCAAAGTACTAGAAAAAAATGGAAATATCCGAATACATCGAGATGTGCCTGCTTGGTTTTTTGGGGTTTTTTTTTGTTTTTTTTACTCTCTGAGGTTCTGTGATGATAATGGATTGCATATCTTTTCTTCTAGGTCTTAGTGTTTCTTTATTTAAAAAAAAAAAAAAAAAAAACCACGTCATGATAAAAAGCCACAGGATGACAAGGAGTAGGATCCATTTGGGCGCTCTCACAATCCTGATTTCAGTTGCTAGAGTTCACCTAAATTATTGAGCTCCATGACATATGGACAGGTGGAATGAAACAGAACCAATTTTATACACATACAGTATATATTAAAACCCTGTCGTAGCTCCTGGAGATTTTCAGCAATGAAAAATGTCTCCAACGAGAGCAATCCCTGACAGTCTGCTCTTCTTATCTATCCTCTCGGGCTCCTTTCCTTCGTTTGCACCCCAGACACTCAGACCTGGGGCTGCCTTCATTCCCTGCTGAAGCTTGTCATTTCCGTGCCCCTCCTGCTCCCAACTCCTGCCTCGTCTCCCATTGAAACTGGTGGATCCTGTACTTCATCTCTTTAGGATAGGTGTTGGCTAAGGTCAAAGGGTATTGGTCTGAACTACACTAAACTGAGAATGGGAAAAGGCCAGGAGAAATTGTTTGAGCTCTGTCATCAGTATATATGCATTGCAGCTGCGGCCATGCGGATCCGGGGCCCTTTCTAACCTAGATGATGACTCATTTGTTTGGCTCACAGTGAATATCATTGGCTCTCCAGTTCTTTCTCCAAGACTTCACTGCTATTCTTGCATGAAAAACGTTCAGAGTGCTGCTTACTCCCCTCTCCCCTCCCCCCTGGAATTCCGCACACAGTGATCACTAGGTGAGTGGGAAGCCGAGTAACACTTAGTCTGGGCAAGCTCTTTTTAACTTGCTGTATGCCTAGAAGCATGTGGCTTAGGTCTGAGGCCAAAGCAAGTTGCTTTGTCTTTACCCTCTAAGTTGAAGACAGCCAGACCCACTGTGCAATTCCGAAGTCATTACCTCTCACTTCCCTCCTCCCCCCCTGCTGGCCTACCTGGGCATGTGGGGGCCGCCTGAACACCAGGAGAGAAGACACCGTCCTTGGTCACACATCCGTTCATTTGTGGCACTGGAGACCCTGGTAAATGTGCACTGTCTGCCAATGCTGGGACCAGGCTCAGGTGTGAAAAGCAGGCTTGTAGTGGTCATGCTGTGTCCAATCATTTTAACCCCTCTTCCTGGGGTGGCGGGGGGAGAGAAGGCTAAAGGCTAGATGTGTTCCCTTCAGCCCTTCCTGACTGGGAAAATAATTGGGAAATCCCTCTTTCCTCAACTAAAGCCTAGCCATTGGTTAGAAATTCTAAGTATCTGAACTCAGTTATGCCCCACTCTAATAGTGCCCTCGTATTAGGACACATTTTCATATATCTCATAAGCCAATTTCAGATCGAGCTTCCCTTGTGAGGAATGGAGATTCTAGTGGTTGCTCTTGTGAGCGGCCCTCCTAGATAAACAATATTTAGTATAAAAGTATGTTTAGAAGACTTAGCTAGAATTTTGACATTAGGTAGAGCTTGTACATTATGTCCTGCATGGATTAGTGCCCATATACAGTTGAAATCATCACTGTGTTGAATCCACAGAAGCCTGGATTTGAGACTGGCCCCGGGTATCTGGATGGTTGTGTGTTTGCGTGCTTAGGTGATAGGGGTGCTGTGTTCCTACAGCTTAGACTCTGAAGCAGCCATTCATGGAAAAGGTTAAGGGTGAAAGGATCGGCCTCGTTTTCCATACCAGCATTACTTTCACGGCTCATGGATCTGAAGGACTGCAGGTAGAGAACATCTAGTACTGTTGCACTCAGAAACTGTGGCAAGAGTCACATTGTTAAAACTTCATGCAGCTTGTATTCTCCTTGGAAACCATTAGTCCTGTAATTTCTTAACTGTCTCCACAGGGCCCAAGTATAGAGAACATTGCAGTCCTGTCTGCATTTGAATAACTAGGTGTAAGTTAGTGGAGACCAGGAAATATTTTCTTCCAAAAGGAATTTGAAATCCGTGTTTCATGGTATTTTGAAATTAAACTACTCCCTAACATATCAAAATGCAGAAAATGTTATCTCAAGTTTTTCTACTGCTTAGGCACATAATCTGATAAGACTTTTTTTTCCCTATTTAAAGTAATTTTTACTGTTTTCTGTTTTGAACCATCTCAAATGTGCATACCTTTTTTAAAATGCCTTTTTCTTATTTTGAAAGTCTACAGTTAGGCATCTCAAAAGTCAAATGTGAGATCATTAGCTCATTACAAAGATGACTAGCTACATGGTAGAAGTTCAGTGAGTACCTGTTTCTGAGTCCCACTCCAGAATGTGCAGATTGAACGTTTTCATAAGGGTGGTATATACCAGGGCCTAGTGCATGTAGATCTGAGACTGAAAGATTCAAATCTCCTCGAGAAGTAGCTCCAGTTTGAGTGAAAACTTGGGAAAAAGACTCAGGCAAAAGCATCCCTAGATACCGTATTACTCCCTCACTGTGAGTATCCAGTGTCTTTTTTATTTGATGGGTATAGAACTTGGGACCTGTTTGTACCAACCAGCATTGTTCTAGCAAACCAACAATAATACATTGATGTGTGAGCTTAACTATTTAATAAAAGGACTCAATAATTCTCTTGCTAAAAACTATTTCTTCAAAGCATTTATTTTAAACTGGTATTTCCCGCTGAAACAAAATTCTATGGTACCATGCCCATCTTACCTTTTATCTCCAGAAGAAAATTTTTCACAGAAGAAAATGATTTTCTAACTTACTGGAAATGCATCCTTTGACGTGACCTTAGAATATCATTGCAAGTCACTTGGTTTGAATTTGGTCTAGTTAAGTCTTCATGGATTACGTACCAGGGCTATTAATATTTAAACCTCTTTATTTTGATGGGATGGTGAGATTTTTATTTCTTTTCAACTTGTGCCTTTGTCTTAACTATTACATGATTATATTCATGCCAATTATAATACAAATGAGCTATTTTTAATGCCTGTATGGAGGATTAAGGAAAACATTCAGTTATTGATATGTCAGGCTTTATTGTGAGTGGTAAAATTCCATGGGATGTGATTTGATTTAGAATATATTCAAATTCTTACAATTATGATACTGAGTTATGACAGATTTCTGTTATTTTAAACCACGAGTAGTGCTTGTTTCTCCCTATATGAAGAATGTTAATATTTTGGATTATAAGTGTTCAAGTTGTAGGCCGAAGTTACCTATGCAAGACGAATTCTGTGCAACATTTTTGTGAAAATTAAAAGTAGTGTTTTAAGAGGGAAACCTGAATGTTTTTATGTACAAGTGCCCAGCTGAAGAACCATAGAAACAATAAAATAAAAATCTCTCAAGTAAGCTATCACTGATTGAATATTTAACCACATACAAAACAGTAATAACTTACATTACTTTTTGGTTGCTATAACCGAACACCCTAAAAACTATGTGTTTTTAGATGTGAATTGGGGAAATGAATATTTAATTGATAAGGAAATTAATATGTATTGTATTGACATATAATTTCTAAGATTTCCTTTGCAATGGCCAATCAGAACTTTAAAAAACCAAACAACTAACAACATAGACCTTATGTGCCCTGAAGCCAAAAATATTTTGTATACTTGGTTGGATGGCTTATTTAAATGTATTGAATTTCCTTACACATCTAAAATGTACCTCCCTTCAGAATTACACCATTTTAAAAATGGGTAACTTTGAATTTCTGAACTTACTGTTTCTCCTAAACATCCCATTATAAGAGATTGGTAAGATTTCTAGGTGGTAATACAGTTTTCAGTACCACATTCAGTACGTTTCAATAAAATTGGAACATGGACAAGTTAGCTTAGGTTTAACGTTAGTATTTTTGTGATCGATCATAGACAACAATACTAAATAATTTTCATAAAAATTTTTTCTCAAATATTCAGCCCCCAGTTTGATTCCAAAACTTCTCCCCATTATTTATGATATACCCTTCTATTTAATTTCTTTACAAAATAATGGTTTGGAAAAATGTGAATATGTTATGAATAGTTGAAGACAAAACACAATAAGAAACCCCTATTCCTTTTGTTGTGGAAGGGGAAGTATTCTGTGCTACCTTAGCATTTGTGCTTTCCTATTATTTTCTCAAAAAGGAGCCTGACTTTTTCTTAAATATATTTCAATTCAGAATTGCTTGAAAAAATATTGGCCTGGATAAAGACATCCAAAATTTGAGATGGTACCAAGTATGTCCAGAGGTACATGTCCAGAGGTTGTCCAGAGGTTGAAAAGTATGTCCAGAGGTTGAAAATCATTTAAAAACACTCAACTATCCCAAAAAGAATGTGTTGCCTTTTCTTCTCTCTCATTAGTTGGCCATAAGTCAGAGGTCGTCTTCATGTTTAGGAAATCGCCATTTTTTTACTCTCGAAATTGCATTATAGTGAATTACTGTTTACAAAATACACATACTGTGAACAGATAGAAGTTTTTGTCTTTTATAAGGTTGTCTGTAGAATGAGTGTCTTTTTAAAGGAGTTGTTATATGTTAAATATTTTCAGTTTTTTTTTCTTTTTTTTTTATAAATACTAGTATAACTGTTTACTAATTTTTGTTTGGTCAGGTGTGTGCAAATGTAGCTGAAAGATAGGGAGAAACTGCACATCCCAAACGGTTCCCGTTCCTGTTTCTTGAAATGTTACCACTACAGACTTTTTTTTTAACCCGAATTATCATTTGTGATGTTCTGTACCTAAAATCCTGCTTAATCGTATAAGGAAACCTTTAAATACACTTGTAGGAGGAAGCAAACTATAGGTTGCAGTATATTTGTGTAATTCAGTTTGATTCACAGAATTCCAAGTTTAATATGAAATAAAACGACTTAACAGAGATGACAACTGAAGTATTTTCTGCCTTATGAAAATTTGGGGATTACGTTGCTGTTAGAATGGAAAATTTGAACATTTTATATCATATAATTTCAGAATTTAATTTCCATATCTTTTGGAGAACATGGTTATATCAAGAACATAGAATATAAGTAACCTATTACTAAGACACCTTAAACGTAAACGTAGTGTGCTTGGCTGTTTAATTCTAAAGATGTTACTTATGTTTGTTTTTAAAATGCATGTATTTAACAATTTTATCATAGTATTGTCATGGAAAAATAAATATATTTTCTTACAACTTATACTGACGGATTTGGGCATTACTGTTGTTTGTTTTCTGTTTTAAGCACTTAGGAAAAAGTAGCCTCTGTTTTGTTATTAATACTTCTGTTACTTCTCATTAGAATTAACAGGGTTTATGAGACAATCACATAGGGTTGTAACTACATTTTTAAATTTTTTTTAAGATTTTATTTTTATTTATTCATGAGAGACACACAGAGGCAGAGACACAGGAAGAGGGAGAAGCAGGCTCCCTGTGGGGAGCCCAATGTGGGACTGGATCCCAGGACCCTGGGGTCATGACCTGAGCCAAAGGCAGATAGATGCTCAACCACTGAGCCACTCACGTGCCCCTAAATTTTTAATATTTTAATACGTTGGCATGCCACTGACATACTCTTCCATATGTTCCACTAAATCTGTATTCTGTGTATAAGAGAACTTAGCATAAAAATAATCAGAAGTGGGAATCCAACATCATAAAACAAAAAATGAATACTGGTCCTGAAAGTATGGTTTTGTAATTTTTTTCCTCTGAAAACAACCTGACATTTCTGAAGATTCTTAGATCAAAATTAGTTTAACTTAAAGTCACGGAGTTTGGAAATACAGTCACTGATTCAGCAAAACGGTAATTTTAAAGTAGAAAGTGATCTTAAATGACTTCTCTTCATAAGGGAGAGAAAGAAGTCTCTAGTCGTACCTAGGTCGCCTGTGCTTTTACCCAGAGTAAGGACTAGAATATGAATGGGCTACAACTCAGCCTGAAGAAACTATGGGCCAGTTGTGAATTAGTTGTGAAACACACGTCCGTGTTCAGGTCCTAGTAGAGCACGTACGTACGGCCTGTCCTTCAGGGAGGTGTCCGTGCATAATTTGTTTCCCACATGGTGGATTCTTGGGCCAAGATGTGTAACACCATCAGCCCTAAGGACTTTGAAAAGGTCAAAAGGACAGGAATGGTGTATGTACCAGCTGGATGCCCCTTTTTTAACGTGTAGTATTCAACGTCGCTGACGCTCGCTCACAGGCTCCAGGTCTTCACAGAAGAGCTGTGTGAGACTTGGTTGTGAGTGGCCTATAAATTTGATCCATTACCCTTCGCCTGGAGTGACTAATGGAAAAACCGAATTAAAAGTATTTCCTCAGTCTCTGAGAAGCAGGGAGTTGATGTAACAGGAGATGTCTTGAGCTGATTTGGGATTAAATCGATTAAATCGGAGCGGATTTTTGTCCCGGAGCGATTAGTCTCAGATTAAAGAGACAAGAAAAGCCGTTGAGGATGATTTTGATAAAACCTGGGAGGTGGAAGTCGTGTTCCAGTGAGTGCGCGTGGAGCGTGCGGGTGCGGCTGCGGCTGCGGCCCCCTCAGCCTCCCCGAGGGGGGCAGCAGTGTGCGGGCCCAGCTCCGTCGCTCTGTCTGTCCCTCTGTCTGCCCGCCGCGGCCTAGACGCAGCCTCTGGGCAGACAGCACCCAGGCCTGGAGCCGGGCCCTCGTCTCTGCCGGGTCGGGTCGCAGCCCGGCACCTGCACCCCCGCTCCCAGGTGGCCCATCCGCAGCGCCCCTCACCAAGGGCCTGGAGTTGAATCTTCTGTCCCCCTTGGTGGCGCCTTTCGTATCCTCCGGCGGGGGGCAGCCGAGCCCTGGCTCTCCTCCGCCCTGAACCCTGGGGCCGGGCGGCCTCCCCTTGCCCAGCTCTTGGGGGGATTCCAGAGTGAATCCGGGATGCGGGGGGCTGACCTCTGGCCTCCCGAAGCCCCAGGAAAGCCGGCGGCCCTGTGTCAGCCCCTGGCAAGGCCTGCGCGACCGCCACCCCCGTGGCCCCGAGGGGACCCGCCGCTGCCCACCCGCCCTCCCGGGAGCCTCCCCCAGCCTTGGGCCTGCGGCTCCGAGGGTCCCCTCCGGGCGCCAGGCCTCCCTGAGCCCTTCCTGCTGGTGGCCCTGGGCCCCCCCAAGCGCCTCTCCACCGCAGGGTGGCACATGGGTGCAGCGGCCCCAGGAATAACTGGACCTCGGGTGCTGGCTTCCCGGGGTTCCGGGGAGTCCGAGCCACGTTGGTGGACAGTGACCCGCGGGGGCCCTGGCGGCGCCCAGGGCGGGCCGGGGCCTCGTTGGGGTGCAGGCCCCGGGAGGGCAGGAGGGGCCGCGGCGAGGGCACAGGCGCCCAGCCCTGGTCACCCCTGTGCCCCCCGGAGTCCCCCTCTCCTCCCCACTGCTCGTTGGCAACGGCAGCCCGGACCTGGGCTAGAGCCCCCTGCTGCCACCCCAGCATCTCCTTCTTTGACACCTATGTCGTTCTCCAGGTCAGGTTCTGGGGACGCCCCTAAGTGACCAGCTGCACAGCTAGGCCCTCCGCGCCGTCCAGGCTTCGCCTCCCCTCCTCGGCCTCGGATGGAATCGGCTTTCCCAGAAGTCTGGCCTCATGTCTCAGACGTGGGCTTGGGGGGCAGGTAAGTCCTGGAAAGTTCACACTGGGCCGCAGCCCCCCACTACCCTCTGGGGCTGACACAGCTCTTCTCTGCACCCCAAACTGCCTTCTCTCAGGTCAGGGGGCTCCTCCCAGCTCGCGGCCTCCTCGTCAGGGAGGGCAGAGGCCCCCGGTGGGGACGCGGGGGGCCTGCTGGGCCTCATGTCCGTCCCTGGGCGCTCGCGTGGCCGGACAGAGGCCTTGTTCGCGGGCCACTTTTACAAAAACACGTTCCAAGGACCAGTCCCCGGAAAGAAGGGAAGCGAGATTCCGAGCGAACAAAACAATATTCACGACAGGCTCACTAAAGAAAATCTAGAAAATAAGTAAAAGGGGAAAAAAAATCATACTATCTTGTACGACAGTAGCTATTCCTTTTTTTTTTTAAGATTTTATTTATTTATTCATGAGAGACACAGAGAGAGAGAGAGGCAGAGACACAGGCAGAGGGAGAAGCAGGCTCCATGCAGGGAGCCTGACGTGGGATTCGATCCCGGGTCTCCAGGATCACGTCCTGGGCCAAAGGCAGGCGCTAAACCGCTGGGCCACCGGGGCTGCCCGACAGTAGCTATTTCTAACACTTTTGCCTTGTATCCTTTCAGACACTTTTCCTCTGTGAATATGTGTATGTAAAGTGATGCATTTTCATATGCGCGTGTGCGTGTCTGTGAGGGTCACACTGTATATTGTTTTCAAACCGGATTCTTTTATTTAACTTACTTTGAAAATCTTTTCATATCAGTAGGATTTACATGGCATTGCTCTTTCATGGACATATTAGACTCTAGCATATGGAAATATTTAAATTTCCTTATTTTTTTTAATTTTTTAATTATTTATTTATGATAGTCATACAGAGAGAGAGAGAGGCAGAGACACAGGCAGAGGGAGAAGCAGGCTCCATGCACCGGGAGCCCGACGTGGTATTCGATCCCGGGTCTCCAGGATCGCGCCCTGGGCCAAAGGCAGGCACCAAACTGCTGCGCCACCCAGGGATCCCTAAATTTCCTTATTGAATTCCTTTGTGGTTGCTCATTTATAAAACTGTTGATACCTTGCAGTAAATAGTGGATGGCTCTGGAAGCCAGTAAAGATGCTTGGCATTGATTTGGTTGGCACTAGAAACCAACACTCGAGCTTCACACTGGGCGCCACGGGCACACTATAGTCAAGCGCTCCCCAGTCGACTTTTCTAAGCCATAAAATGTGGTCTTTTACTGCCAACTGACTAATGAAGGTGCCAACCTATTGCAGACTTCTGCTTACATGCCACTTCCTCTAAGATGATGGGGCTCCTGCTGGGTGGCCTTTGGAAAAGGCAGCTGCCTGGCTCGGGTTCCCCCACTCCTCAGGGCACCCCACCAACATCGTGAGCCCTTGGTCATTGGTAAGGGTCCCTGGACCCAAGGGAAACACAACTTTCAGGAACTGTAATAGGGATTTTGAAAGATTTTGATGCGCCTAGAGCATCTCTATTCCTAGAGAATAGAAGTTCCTTTCTTTACCCAGGGAGTCTGGGTTTGACCTGTAGGGTAGGGCAGTGGCCGACTGTGGCATGAAGGGGAGAGCACATGACCTAACGTGTCTGAGGAAAACAGCTCCAGGTTCCGGCGAAGTACTGTGTGGACGTGGCACAGCCGGGGAGTTAGGGTTGATGGGTTGTAGAAGGCACAATTCTAAGACGGTCCCCGAGATTCTCAGCCTCCGAGGCCTGCTTCCATCCCACCCCCTGGAGTGGGAGCCCGACCCAGGAATGAGACAAGATGTCCCTCCCATGAGTAGGCTACTCATCAATGACTTGTGTTCACAAAAAGGACGATTATCTAGGGTGGGCCTACACCTAACCAGAGCTGTCACAGGAGCGCTGGGCCTTGCAGAAGGGTCTCCTGCGGGCTTTGCGGGAGCAGGTGGCCGGTGAGCCTGCCGGATGAGGCCGCAGCCCTGGCCGACGCTGACTGGAGGAGCTGGGTCTTCTCCATCCTTCGTCTTCTCACCCGTGTCCCATCCAGGGCTTGGCCCCCACGTAGCGAACCCTCAGTGAATGTTCTCGAAGCCAATGCGTGTTGGCACGTGCCTGTGAGGGGGGGCCGCTAAAGCAATGCTTGTGAGGGCCCAGGTCATGTCGCCTCCTTCCGCCCTCACAGCCCCAAAGCCCCTGAGCAAACCCCGAGGGCTTCAGGCTGCCAGTCCAGAGGCAATTGCGTCACAGTGACTAAGACCCCAACACTTGGCCAATCGCTTCACCTCCCCAACCCTGTTTGAGGGGCCAGACCAGGCGATCACTCTGCTTGCTTCATCCGTGGGGGGTAGAATTGCGGCCCGGGCAACCAGTGGGCGCATTTTCTGCTCAACTTGACGGCGCCCCCTTGTCACACACACGCTCTCCCCACTGGGAGCTGAAGTGCAGCGGGAACACGGGGCATGTGCAGCCGGGGTCCAGGTCACCGAGCGGCAGACTCGCATCCACACCCCTCTCCCCGACTCTCTCCGTCTGATAGCCCCTCACCGGCCTCTGCCTTCCAGAAGCCCATCCTAACAGGGCTTTCGGCCCC